TGACCCTTCTGGGTGTTGCTTCCACTTTGAATCCCAGGTATAGTGAATGACACAATCCTCACTGGAGCTTGCAAATTTTAGTTTAGACCCCCCATACCACCTACATATGCTGGGCTGCCTTGTCAGGAACTTGACAGCTGTCAATTTTGAGCAGAAAGTAGAATCAGTTCCTATTCCAAGTCAACAGTGGTTTTTCCAAGCTCTGTGATCTGCCCAGAAGCATCACTGCTTCTGTAGTTCCCTGGACAGTAGCATTATTATTAAAATGGTGTCTTCTGTTAACTGGGAATCGCTCTTTGAGGAGATAAAATGCTGTTACCACCGGGGCAGCTGCATTAAGAGAATTATTTTTTGTATTTCTGCCAGAAATTACAAACTCATATTAGTGGCAACGAGTTGTTCAAAGGGCTGGATTATGTCATTCCTTATTGAAGACTTGGAATGAGTGTTCCAGTGGTGCTGAAGTCCAAAAAGTGTTCAAGCAGTGAATAGCAAGTATAGGTCTGCACCCCTATTAGCAGAGATTTCATCTGGTTAGGGTCACAGGCTTGGCGAGTACATGGATGGGAAAAATACAAGGTAAACCCCAATGTCAGAGGAAGTGATATTGGTGATTCCATCTTAACAGAGCATCAATGCCATAGTATGATGCTATGGGCTCCTGTGCTGCAGAAGTATCTTTAGAAAGGGACATGTGAAGATCTGATCTGCTCTAGTCCTTAAATATCTATTAGCAATTTTTGCCAGAAAAATTAATAAGTACATTTTGAAGTTTCAGTTCAAGAAGACTTTTCTTTGCTGACTGGAACTTGTATGTAGTGATGATCTTCACTGCAAAGAACCACATTGCAAGAGGCTGCATTTCAACTATATTTTTAGACTTCAAGCATCATAGGGCAGAAACGGCATTTTCATCTGGATTCTGTACAGCACTGAGCACTTTCAGTGCACAACACACAACATATATCAAAATGGGAACAAGGAACAATCTGTTACTTCTCTGCTCAAATTTGCTACCCATCGTATTGATACGCCCACAAACTGGAGTAAGAAAGAACTACACTGAGCTTCTTGAATAATGCAATATTGCTTTACATAACAGACAAGTAGCCCATCGAACTCTTTGCCACAAGGTATCATTGAAATTGAGAGTTCTGCCAGATTCAAAAAAGGACGGGACATTTATATGAATAATGAAAATATCTACAGTTACAATTAAAGATGATTAACAAAAATGAAGTTTGGGAAAGATATAAACCCTCATGCTTCTCAGCATATGGCAATCACTAAACAGAGGAGCAGGGGTTGGAAAAAACTGTTATGGTCCATAAATGCCCACTTTGAGGCTTCTTGCACCTTCTTCTGAGACATCTGGTATTGGTCACAGTTGAAGACAGGATGTAGTGGAATAGATGGACCCTTTCACTGTGTCATTATAACAGAGATAATCATCTTTTAGATCAGTCCTCCAACAGAATCTGAAACCTTCTCCAGTGATTCCAAATGTCTGCACAGAGATTTCAAAAGGCCTCAGAAAATATTTAACACAACACCTTTACAAACATGTAAAAACAGCGATGTGTAGTGCAGCAACTGACAGGCAAGGAGCAAATTATTCATTGATGGATAGGATTCAGATAGCTGATTGAAGCAAATCCAATGAATGCCAAACCAAATCACAGAGGAAGAGATATGAAGAACTAAGATGTAATTTTTCTCTTGTAATTGCAGGGAACTAATAATGTGAGATACCACTAACACCGATTAGCTAGTCTCAACACCTAAGTGAAAAAACAAACAACCACAGCAACAAAGTTGGTACAGGATTCTTTTCTATTCAGGTTTTTTACACCGTAGCCATAACCCCATGGTTTACTGAAGATTTCTAGAGTAAAAGCATACAAGATGACTTACGACAAACTGTTTCCTCAGCATCCATCTTATCTGTGAGGTGCAGATTAAGTAAAACATTTTTTAGCCCTTTGAAAATGCTAATTGATTGTGAACTGCTTTGTGGAAAAGCATGAGTCTTATCCTCAGGACAGACAGTTTCATTGTTCTTGAAGAGCAGAGATGTTAAGAGTGACTGAAGGCCAAGAAGGTGCGACAGTCTTTAGCGAAGCAGTGGAGCAAGTGAAAAACAGGGATGAAATGCTCTTAAGCCACCAATCTTGCTGAAGAGGTGGGTGCTGCATTCTGCACCAGTTGCTTCATTTTTAAAAATAATGTTTTCAAACCATGGTATATTGCAGTGGTTTTCAACCTGTGGTCTTTGGGCCCCTGGGAGTCCACAAACTATGTCTAAGGAGTCCGCAAAAGGTTGTCATTACTATAGAACAGTGTTTATCAACCTGTGGTCCATGGATCCATGGGGGTCTGCAGACTATGTTTAAGATTTCCAAAGGGCTCTGCGCCTCCATTTGAAATTTTTTAGGGGACTGCAAATGAAAAAAGGTTGAAAACCACTGGTACTTTGCATTGCACAGTACAATCTGGAGTTAAAGCCATTTATGATCATAGCCAGGTCATAATCTGAGAGAATGGGGTGCATTCTCCTAGTTAACCACAGATTGTAGGAGGCATTTTTTATTCCCAATGCTGTATGAGCGCAGTGTCAGCGTGGGGTCTAAGTCCCAGAAGCTGCCTGTGGATACTGGATAGGACAGCAAAGAGGATCCAACTTTGTCATATTCCACAGCTGAGTGCTCTGAATCAATCACCATCACCATTCTCTGGGCATGGACCAAGGATGTGACAATCCAGCTATTTGTAATTCTGCCAGCAGTGCTGATGAGCAGTTCAAAGTGCTGGATTACTTCATTCTTTGAAGGACTGGAGTGCATGGAACATGGTGGAGATTGATGCTCTGATATTACGCAGATATAATACTTTCTTCCTGAGCCACTTCCCAACAATCTGCCCCATTCTGATCTGCTGGGTGCTCATACTCACCACCATGCTGCAACACAGATGGCAAAGATCATAAAATTACTGTAGACGTGGATGCATTATAGTACCTGTAAAGAACAAACATCAACGTGACAGAAAAAAATTCACCGTATTTTGAGGATATTGGCAAACACTTGCAACAGAACTTTTTCATAATGTAAACATGATACTCAATTTGCACTGCCCTTCCAGTTAATTGTCATTTGCCATATCTCTTGTCACATCTGACTGGTAACAAGTGTAACCCCTCACGTGTTCTGTGTCTGTTTCTCCTTCCTTGCATGCAGACCAAGGGAACAAAAACAGCATGGCCTCCTTGAGTGCTGGCTGCTCAGTTCTGCTACAAACTGCATGAGAACAGAGGAGACACTGTGATCCCCTCTGCCACTCTCTGTTTCTATGACTCTTGCACGCTCCAGAAGAATTATTTCTCCTGGAAAGAAAAGTGTTAGAACTTGATTCAGACTGATTCTGAAGGTTATAATGAAAACATCAGCTCTTAGCGTCTGGATATAAAACTAACCCATCAAAATGGCACAGGAAGTGAAAATGGGTTCAGGAAATACCATCAGCGGTCCAGATTTGTAATGGACAGACTCCAGTTGGTAGCCTCAGAATCTTTCTGGTAGCCACTATGCTGAGGAATGAGAAAGCAACTCCTTTGAGACAAGCCTTGACTGATCGCCACAAGGACACAAAAGCCCTCTGATTTCCCGGAGTTCCTGGCAATTACTGCTTTGTGCAATGCCAACTTTGTGAGAATTCAAAGACAGTACTTTGCAACATTTAAAAACAGAAAGTAAATACTGCTGTATTATGGGATGTGTACACACAAATCTACATTTGTTACCTTCTGGTGTAAAAGCATTACATTCAAGGAGCTTAATTTTTCTATATGTAAACATTCATTCAGGTCATAAATTCAGATAGTCTGTTGTTCACCCTGAGAAAAGCTTTCAATCACACACAATGAATCAGGCTGAGAAATGTCAAGTAAACAGAAATGTATTAGAATGGCAAACAAAAACCATTCAATATTACAAACAATGGCTCTAATTTAATGTACCAAACAATGCCCTCACCAGTCTTGATTGGTTAATAAACGTAGAAGCAATTTGCAATGTAATCACTCAGCAGAGCAACAGGGAGCACAGAAGATGCTTTTAGAATTTCACTTTCTTCAAAGTGTGCAGAACAGCAATTTCAAATAATTCACCATCAACTAAGACATTTTTCAGATAATCTAGCACCTTCTCTTTCCATACAAGTCTTAACGTAAGCCTTTGGTTTGGAAACCCTGAAAGAACAAAAATGATCTATTCAACTTGCTCATTAGCAAATCTGTAACTCTGTCCATCAGTGGTGAGACAAATGATAATGTACATAAAGCCCCTACTCTATTGTTCTCAAAGTGGACAATTATTTAATCTATCTTTTACATCAGGTGAAGCCCATTTCTTGGCCAGACTGAGGTATCCTTTAGCTCATGATCTGAAAGTCTTCATTACTTCTTTTAAGTGAAATTAAATTTTGTGAGGGGAATGAACATGCATTGATGTGGAGTCAAATAGACCACCTGACCTATTGTGACCACAGGGACTTTCTGGGCTCCCCTTGAGAGGGCTTCCCACATTCACAATTTTCCATTACTTGGTTTAATTTCAAACTCAGCAATAAAGGAACTTTTTTCACACTCCACATTACTACCTGGAGTATTTCAGTACTCCAGAATTAAATTCAAACCCACAGGTAGCAATTGAAATTTAAAACAGCTGAGAAACTAACAATCCAGAAAACACTTCAAAGAACAGCTGCCCTGCAAGATGACAGAGAAGATGTAAAATTCTGTAGGCCAACAAGAGCCAAGACCTAAAAAAATAAGCTGGCTACAAAGAGGAGAGCAGGTGGCTCCTGGAGTCCCCAGGTAAGACATGCACTCAAACAGAAGCATGATGCCTCTTCCAGATGACGGCGATTTTGAACATTCTGTCAACACGTGAAGACAGACCACATTTAAAAGGTAAAACAAACACCAAGAGAAAGGCCCATGCTGTATGGCCCACCAAACTCACTGGGTTTATAGTGAAAGTTTATTGTTCTGCTTCCTAGTACAATAAGCTACAAGGTACGTACAGTATAAAACGAGAATGGCCACAAAGCAAAGGTGATACAGACATTCTGTTACAATACAGTGGAGGAAACATTCTCTGCCTAATTTTTCCACCCTACCCCACGCATAGCAGCTAAAACTACTGACCCTCCCTCCCCTCCAAAAAATATTAAAATGAAAACTCTCGCTTAGGTGCAGCGGAATTGTATGTCTTTTGGGGACACTGGTTATCATGTGCCAATATTTCAAGGAACTTTCAGAAACTAAAACAACAAAAGAAACAAAAATAATCTGTGAAGATGGTAGTGACATGATCCATGCAGGATGCTCATGCCACGCTGGGTTCAGTTCTCCTCAAAGTAAATGGCCTGTAAAGAAAAGAAAAGTCTGTTACACTGAGAAATGTATCACTAAAAATGGTCAGAATTCAAATACAATAATGTAGAATCTGGAATTGGAATAACTAGGTATCCAGCTGACATATATTCCGGTTGTCCTTATAATGAACACTTACACTCTTATTACTGACAATGTTTAGAGATTTTGAAGGCTGATACCCCTTTTCCTTCAATCTTGAGACGCTACACACAGGAGATTATACACCAATGAACGTGTACAACTGACAAATCCACCTACCATTCAAGGCCCCAGACAAGAATATCTGGAGGGAGAACCCTAGCAATGTGTGTGCTTTAATCTCATCCTCAACTCTTAAAAAACAGTGAGACTAAATTTATATAATGGTGGAACACTTACCTTAAAGATACAAAAATTCCATATAATAATTGTCTCAGATATATTTGGTGCGGTTGAGGGCTCTCTCAGCAAGATGACCACTTTCATCTGTGATCTTTTCCCAATCCGTTTGTCCAACCACAAAACCAATGGCCCTCTTCCTGTCTGCATCCTTCTTTTCTTCTAGGTCTGCCCACCTCACCTATGAAGAACACAATGTCAGTAGGACAGCCCTTCAAGAATAAACACTGGAACACTAGTAGGCCTTTCCCATACAGGCTAGTGTACAAAGAAAATTCTTAACCTGCACTCAACCATTTTGGTTCTGAAATTGAAGACCCAAATCATTCTCTCAAAGGAAGCAATGGATGTTCCACCAATTACATCATTTAAAAGGGAATGTTCTGAATATATCACAGGGTAGAGAAAAATCTTGCACTGGCTGGGGGATGGACTAGATGATTAAGTCTTTTCCATTTTAACACTAATAATTCTGTGATTCAGAGCATAGTGGCTGCATTTATTCTAAGGCTTAGAGGAAGAGTATGGCTGGATGCCTACTGCTCACAGGAACCAAGAGGAAGACCACTGGAAAGTATTCTTCTGTGTGGAAGGATTGATGGCAACTGGAGGAAAGCCACAGAACAGAACAGTGCTTCTGTAAGGAAGGATTACATAGGCTTACTTCTTAGTGTTCACCACCGTAGTGTGCACGAATCAGTATTCTACTGGTCCCAAATGAAATGGCACAGAGAACACGATACCACAATGTTGAGCTACAATTTTTTCATAACTATAATCTTTCTCTGCATCTACCTTGTAAGCTTAATTACATACTGGAGTCATTTAAAACTAGACTGGACAAAGTACAAGAAGATATACTGTAGGGAACAATCCTGCACTGACTGAAGGAGAGTCACAATCAATAGTTCTTTTCTATCTTTGGCTTCTATGACACATTTCTGGATGAACCTTTTCACTACCTCAACCACTGTGCTAAGTTGCTCATTCATGCATTTATGTCCCATCCCACCTTGACAACTGCTACTTCCTCCTCTACGGCTTCTTAAAGTCACTAACAATCTTCATCTCGGATCTGTTCAGACCGCTGCAGTCACCTTCTCACCCACACATAAGTGCATATATGGAATGAGGGGTTGGGGTGTGGGGAAAGAGGGCATAAAAGCAACTAATGGGAAGGTTGTAACCAGGACACAAGGTAGGAAGAGTGATGACAAGGCTAGAGAAGCAGTATCTGCAGGCAACTCATGGTGTGTCTACACAGAAACTAGACACCTGTAGCTAGCCCATGCCAGCTGACCTGAGCTTGCAGGGCTCAGGCTGCGGGGCTGTTTCACTGCTGTGTAGACTTCCAGGCTCGGGCTGGATCCCAGGTTCTAGAACCCTGCAAGATGAGAGGGTCCCAGAGCTCCTGAGCCCGGAAGTCTACACAGCAATGAAATAGTACCATAGCCTGAGCCCCACAAGCCCATGTCAGCTGGCACAGGCCAGCCTTGGGTTTTTTTTTGCTGTGCAGACATACCCTCAAGAACAAATCTCTTCCCCATCCTGCCCTCCACTCCTGATTTCTGCTGACTCCTTGGCCCCCAATGCCCACCCCTCACTTACTAGCCCAGTTCCCCAACCTACTTAGTTCAATGTCCTCATTCTGCTAACCCAATGTACAAGGAAATAACTTTTACATTTATTTCTATTACCACTAATTTTGTATAAATGTTTATACTTATAAAAATAAAAGGTTAATAAATGTAAAGAGTATTTCCCTACTTAGTGATGTAGGGGCCCTGGTGGGGATGGAACCAGGGAGAGCTGCTACCCAACCTTGCTCCACCCCTCAACTCCCTTCACCTCTGAAAATCTCTTACTGTTTGTAAGCAAGTGGTCCCCTGGAACAAAGCTGTCTGTTAAACCATAAGACATTCATCAGAAGAAACCTCGGGTCCTCTTCTCCAGACTTATTTTTCCCTCTAGCCACCCTGCACAAACTCACACTGAGTATCATTCTCCTGCTAAACCCCTTCCTGGTCCACAACCTCCAAGTAACTACCCCACTGTTGTCCTCCCAAATCACCTTCATAGCCTCCTGCCCAAAACTCCATAATACCCCCACTCCTCCCAGATCCACTGGCCAAACTTAACCTACTCATCCATCTACCTACACTTTTAAAAAATCAAAGACGCTCTCCACAAAAATTAGCTTAGACTAAAGGTTGCTCAATTGCATTTTCTATGACCATGATCATTAAAAATTAAGGATATCACTAGAAAGGTCAGTGTTAACATCCATACCAACCTCAATTTACATCTTATCACCCAAACACAATTACAAACTCTTCAGCTCCATGACAAACTCTTTCAATTTTAACATACAACTAACCACTATGTACACAACCAATTCCTCCCATTCCCTCTGAAATGCACAAACCTGCACTTCAACCTCAAATTTTTCCATACACAATTAGTATAGACACTATGATTACACACATCTATAGGGAATAATATAGCTTAATCCTGCTGAGATTAGAGTTTGGGTTATTGAATGTATGTTGGAATTAAAAGGGAGTTTGTTGTGGAGCTGAGGACTCAGACTATATTCTATTGATGCTTAGGGGAGTAAGACACAAGTTGGTTGACTATAGCTGTAAATGACTTTACTATCAGTTTCCTTGATTTTAATGACTATCTTCACAGGAAATGTAATTAAGTAACCTTAACTCTAAGAGATCTAATTTTATGGTAGATTATTATTTTAAGTGATGCTCATGCAAATTTGTACATTCATATGTCTACATGCATTTTTACCTTCCATTCATAGAAGTATTTCAAGCAGCAGCACACATTCAGGGATGATAAAGGATCAATTTTTATTTATACAGAAGCTATTTTTCCAAAGAAAATCACTCAAACTGAACCTGCCCTGAATTTAAGAACACATGCTGTTTCCTTCACTACCCTTATTACAAAGCCTACCATAAAAATCGATTAACTTTAACAGAACATAAGTCACATACATAAAACCCATTTTATTTTCCTCTTCTCTCATATACAACACACAGTACAAACTTCCTAGCCTCTTTTCTGCATTATATACTATACCTTTTGTGCCCCCCACAAAACATACACCATACACAGAATACCCATCTCCATGGCTTCTCTAGAAAGTCTGCATCTTTATTTAGAACGTTTCCTTAAGAATGGTGTATCTTTTTCCTAATTCTCAAAATCTGAGACATATGCTGTTAATCTTTACTATCTTCAATGGCTCACTTTATCATATCAAATCTGTATGTGTTTGGAAGACCATGTTCTTAAGAACAGTCTGCCATGGCATCTAATGGGACAATGAAATGAAACAATGATTTCACACTGGTCCTATATGCAGGCAAACTGAATGAATGGTGCAGACTATGTTCTACAGAGAAAATGCTGTATGAGTCCTTTAGAGCTATTAAGCACTAATGGAGTTTATTACCCTCTTCTTGCCAGGTTCAGAAGCACGTGTATCATAGTCATCTGGAAGCTGAAGATAATCCTCCATCCTACTGGCAATTGCTTCCCAATCACGTTTCCTCTTTGTGCCTGTCCGCAAGCCATCCAGCTTGTCTGAGAACAAACACAGAGCCTCAGCGTTAAAGGAGAAAATTTGTGAAAAAGGCACACAAACAAGATGAGAGAGGGAACACTTTCAAAAGAATGAGTCTGTATTTCACAGCAGCAGAACTTGCACATCCAGATTGTGTTGATGAGTGGAATGATCTCTAGTTTGTTTCAACTCTAAAGACTCACCCCCATTTCCAATTTTTATATATCTTTCATATTAATTTTGTCAGTAACACTCAGTATTGCCGTTTGTATGAGGGAGGAAAACGTATCTTCCTGGAATTCACATCATTCAGAGTCCATGCTCAGCAGGCATAACACTGCTGCTGGAAGCTGTTGGTGGAATGACAGTCCCATCTATTCTGCAGTTTAACACAATATTAAAGCCACACATTTTCTTCCAAGTGTTGGGTATAATACTGTGTCAAACATGGTATAACATGCAATATCAGGAACTTGGGGTCCATCAAACTGTTAAACCTACTAAGGACTGTATAGTAAGCAGTTTTTGAAGAACTGCTTCTACTGAACACAAAATCCTGGGACTGCAGAAAGACTCAATCTATTATTCATAGTGTGAGAGGTCTCACACACATTAATGCTCAAGAAGTAAGTTTGTCCAAAGGTCACTTTTTTCTTCTGTTGCTTACTGAACCAGAGTGACCAGCCTGAGAGATGAGGTGAAACAAGATGACATTTATCGAGTTATACGAACTTCCTGTTTTTGGCCACTTATTCAAGGCAGACTGCTAGTGGTAATGAGACCAAGTACATAAGAGACCAAGTACATAAGGTTAAGGACTAATAGGTGTGAAGATATGAAACTGGCTTTACAGAGCTAAAAATAATTCCACTACCTTTTTTTCCCATTGGTGTTTACTCACTGGTTCATAATGTCATGTAGTAAGTTTGTTGCCCCTATATTTTAAACAATTTCTATAATCACTGCCACGTTAAAGTATATGTAGAGTGACTTTTTACAGTTATTTGGTGTTCTCTGTAAACCATTGCCAGTGATGACACACTAGCTCAGAAGTCACTGATGTTATTAAATTAGCCAACAGGAGATCTCTGAAACTAATCAAATACAAAGCAACCTATTTGCTGGGCAGCAGAAAAGGACAGTCTAAAAATGTGCATCCAAAGAATTTCAGTACATAGATGAATTTTGTTTTATTTAAAATAGCGAAGAGCAGAGTAGTACTGGAAGTCATGAGAACAAAAAAAAACAAATGGTGACTTGTGCATACTTCAGTAAAACTTCACACGACAAACCAATAAAGTAATCCCTCCCTCATTTAATGCTAGAATTTTCAAGAATCCATTATGCCCCATTTAATTGGGACAGATTCAAATCTTTCATCTGTTCAAGCAAAGCATTTTTGAATTCCCTCCCCAAAGACACTACAGTTAAAAATCAACACAGAATAGCTGTATCTGCTTTCCTGAAGTGCTAATAGTTACATAGAATAAAAGAAGAAACAATGCAAAGTCAAATATGCCAAATTTGTGACTACGGCTCCATAGAGAGATGCCATCTCCTTTCACGAGAGAAACTCTAGCCATGGGAAATTCCTTTGTATTGGTCCAACAGTAAAGGTACTTCCAAGCCCATCTAGTATTATTCACAAATTACTCAACACAGACCACTGCTATTATAAGGGTCTACAGAATAAACAGCATTGAAAAGGAGAGCAGCACACACATTTAAACTGTGACAAATGGAGAAGTCGAGGAACTCTGTGACAAGGCAGTCATATCAACACTTTCCCACTGCGAATCAGAAGTTTCTGATGCTAAGTGCAAGTAGCAAGCACATCTGATCACCAGCATGAAAGAGTTAATTCTCCCACTTCACCTGTGTATAACAAAAGTCGCAAATCGGTACCTTAAAGTTTTGCAACACTCAAATGTAAAAAGGTGAATTAAGGACTGCACCGTCAGTTTGAATAATCCTTCTTTTAAGGACTCCGTTTATCTCAGTACAGAGTATGTTTTTAAATTTAATCTCCTTTTGTGTCTGAAGTTGGCTGCCCTTCCAGGGAGATCCGCTGCCATCTATGCCATGGTACTTCAAGGTATGTCCAGAGGTGCCCCCAGAGCAGACACTCCTTGAAGCATTCTCAAAGTCCTATTGCACTGATCCTTGGCAGATCAACTCAGAAGGGTTTGTTGTTATGAGACAAGGTTTCACTTTGTAATATAGAGCCCGCGATGGTAGTTATGGAAAGAAATGGTTATTTAGCACCCAATTTTCAAACTTTAATCATTCTACCATTTAGAGTTTTAAAAATAGCAAAATGGCAGGATCCTTAAAATCTGTGAAACTTCTTAAAAACTCACCTTAATTATTTTAATTATAAAAGCACCTGAAATTAGCCAATAACTTTTTGTTTCTCAATACTAGCCACCCCTCCAAAAAAAGTTATAATTTTCGTATTTTTTATGCAACAACTCATAATGGCCTGAGTGAAATGTTATTAGCATCCTAGAATAAAGTTTTACAGTGCAGATAATACTTCAGATATTGTGAAGGTAGTTTTCCCATCTGTGAGGTCTGAACATTGCACTATTAAACCATACTTTTAAATAATATACTCAAAGAGGCAATTATACCTCAATCAAGACAACAAGCATTAGCCGATTTCTGTAAGCTGTAAATGGAAGAACTTGCTGCACAAATACAGAAGGGCGCATTGATATACATTTTAAACAGAAATGTGGCTGGGGTTGTACCCAGAACATGTATGAAAAATGGGCAGCAGTATGCAGGGGCACAGTATTCAGAAGAGGAATGTACCATCCCTGCCAGAATAAATATTAACCAAAGCAAGAACTCTAAGGCAAGGAGATTTTCATGTGCTTGGTGACTGTCACAAGCATGTTCAGCCAAAAGCTCAACATTTCAGACATTCTCCATGACACACTGTAGCCAGTAAAATTCTGTTGTACTTTACCTGTAACAATGTTTATAAATAAAAATAGAAAACACAACAGAATTTGTAGCTGGCTGCCAAGTGATTTGGGTGAACCAATACATCAAAGAAATGTATTTGGCTTAAGATTCTGCCTTTCAGCCCTTTCACCTCTGTAAAAGTCTGTCTACTGTGTGAAAACATGCTGAACAGGCCAGTATCTCGCCAGGAAACAATCCAAATCTGGAATAACAAATCTATATTACAGCTTTACACACCATTTAGTATACAGTTCTAATCAGTCACTGCTGAAATAGACTATTAGGAATAACTATGACTTACTAAGCATTACCCTGGAAATCCTAGGATGCACCAGATATCACCACTTTTAAGTCCCAAAACGCAAGGTTTCTTAACCACAGTTTTGGCTGACAATGCCTGAATTTATAGAGCAACCTTCTAGGAAACAGCATCCATAACAATGGGATTTAGGGCTCTTTGTAGCAATATGATACTTGTTTTTAGTAAATTTTGTTTTTTCTATAGCTTTTTGTAGAATTTAGGCTTATTGGGGAAGGGGCTATTTATATCCCAACAGGGATAGATTCAGTCTGTTTCCAGGGTGAGACCTCTTTAGCAACAGGACATGGTGACTGTGGAATACAGTTGTCCTGTTAGCTGAGTTCCTGATGAGAGCTAGTTACAAGAAATGTGTGCAGCTGATGTCAAGATCAGTGGCTAACAGAGTCATTTTGTTAGGAGTTTAACCCTGCAGTTTATTTTACATTTATTTGTACATATTTGGGTTAAGTGGAGATGATCCTATATTACTTTTATAATTTGGATTTATTACCTGGAAAGCGTATTATAAAAACAATTATTTTGCTTCTATTTTTTATTAGTGAGATTTAACAATGTGGGGAGGGGGAGATTTTAAAAACTTTGTTAGTTTCTGCTCCATACTCAGTTTTGCTGGGGATGCTACACACAAAGAATGATATATATTTAAAACAGTTCAATTGTTCTATGTATCATACATATTTTGGGCTTCAGTATTTGATATTTGTAAAATGTGTGTAATTGAGGGATTTTTTTGGGAGGTGTTTAAAAATATTAGTTGTGTGTAATGGGACACTTCCATTCCTCTTATGCACATTTAATGAAAAACAACAGTTATTTGGAATATAACACAATAACCAACAGCTTTGAATTTTTTAAACACACAGATTATTTTATGCTATGATTTCCAAAACAACATTTCTTAAAAATTATCACGGCAAGCCCTAAGAAATAAGCTTAACAACAGACCAGGGTTGTGAACTCTACAGCAAGAATGCACATAACCCTTGGAATGAGTTTCTTCTTTAATTGCTTAGCTGTTTGATAGACCTCAGATACTGAGAAAAGGCTCATCCAGCTGTGCTGAAGGTATCAAGAAGTCTAGATGTTCCATCAGGATTTCAATGGCTCATCAAGAGAACGTGGCAGCAGAAAAGATGCTGCAGCAAAGCAGTCAAACAGCAGGCGACAAAGGGCCATTTATGTAAACAGGGTCTTCTGGTGCCATTTCTATGATGCCGTTAGGATTTGAAAACAAGAATACAGAGGCATGTATCACATACTCAGACTCACTGTCCCGAGGGTTAGGCAGTTATATATAGTGAACTTGCTCTTTGAAATTTACACTACACATCCCCTTTCAGATATCTATTATTTTATCATAAAGGTGACTGAAAGTGATCCTTTTACCCAGGTTGGTTCAAAGATCCTGTTTTAGTACCATTCCTGAAATAAACATTGTTGCTCAAAAGTTGCATATTAATGGAAATTCCTTTGCATGCACACATGCTCCATCACTTGGCCTTGTGCCTGCATTTCTCTTGCTGATTTTGATGGAAATATCAGTTATAACAGATAACATCTAGCAGCACAGCAATGTTAATGAGATTGGCAGTGGAGTTAAAATCATCTCCTTTTCCAGAAAGGTCCATTCTGAATCCCCTGAAAAGTGTCCCACAATTCTCAAGGAATTTCATTTGAACAGCTGACAGTAATTTTTATATCTAGGTCTTTGAAAGGAAGTGATGATGACTGGATCATTCAGAACCAGGTTCAGAGTACAGAGCTTGTGATATCTGGTCACATGACAGTTTTGGAAGGCTCTCCAGTACTATTCCCTACTAAATATTTCTCTTAAGGAAAAACAGTCTCTCCTTAATTATTAAATTAACCATGTTCTCCTGTTGGCTCAAAAAAAGTACACGTAAAATAGAAGCAGGATATGGTATAGTATTTATGTTTGTAACCCCTTTGTGATGACTTAGTAAAACTGAATGAAAATGCAAGCAGTAGGGTACACCAGCCTTTCCTTAAGCCAGCACAACACCTATGTTGCAAGACAGACACTTTTTCAATTGAAAATTTAGACTTAAGAAAAAAATGTATGCAGCACGAATACGAACGTGGTATATTGTGAATGGATTCAGTTGCCTATTTACAATACAGAGGAAGAATGAAATATTGCATTTTTTTTCTTTTCAAACAAACTACTTCCCTTGAACAGGTGGATGAGCATCAGTATGGAAATGTGTACTCTATGTCAAAGTGTATAAAACAGCTATGGCTAGGAACATTAGACTATCTCTACCTTTACTATTGCAGAAAAGAGAACCTACATTTTACATGGAAGAGAAATGTCTTGTAGATTCACATACACATCTATGACATAGATCACATACACAAGCCATTTGGTCTTTGGCAAGAAAAACTGCACAAATAAGCAAATTAAAGTTCTGCACATACCATCAGATACCAACTATAGAAAACAGGGAAAAAAAATACCCACCTAGCTTTGCCTCAGAAGTGTCCATCTCCCATTTGCTTTTCGGAATGTAACCCTAAATCATACACAGAGAGAAGCTCGAAGGATTAGAGACACACACACACGCATATCACTTTTGAACTGGAAAAAGCATTATAATGGGAGCTTAAAACATTTCTTTTGGTAAAGTGCAATTCACAGTTAGCAACTAAGGGAAACCAGGTTACTAGACACTTCAGAACTTCTATATCCACTTTATATTCAGTGCTTTTAGTGGCTCTTTTGCATTGTTACAAGAGTGCTGCTTCTGCAAACACAGAACAAATTTAACAGATAGTAATAGTACTGAAACTGCGTGCAAAGTTACAACATTATATTGCCCGAAGTGGCATAGGTTTTGTAACATAAATTATCAGGTGTTGAGAATATTCAATGCACTACAAATACAACTGCAAAAAAAATGACATTAGCCATATGCTCTTAAGAATGTATTTCCAGAACAATTCACTACAGCCAGACTTCACTGAATATTCCTATTAAAGGAACAAACTAAAATTTAGTATGCAAAGTCAACTTAGTACGGACTCTAACATTAAATGGTAAATCCTTTTTTATAAAAAAGGTTTTACTAGTTTAAATTAGAGTTAGATTTTGTTGAATCATGAGATATAAACATTAAAAAAGTTGCTTATTGAAAAACTGCAAATGTATCATAGTTCAAACATTGCTTGTCATAGAAATACAACTACTGTATCAACAACAGAAAGAATGCATTTTATATGTAATAAAGTATTCAGCTACTTTATTCCATGTGACTCAAAATTTTAAATTCTGCAAGATCCACTTGATTATTCTTTTATGATATTTCCATTTTACAGTGCTTGCTCAGTGAGGATTTAATTATACTATTTGTCCATGATCTCTCATATACTCCAGTTTCAGCTGCTTAAATTGTTATATTATTTAATGATTTCTATGTAGTCATATTAAAAAACCAACATATTGAAACATATTGTATGAGAAACTTGTTATAAGTATTATTCTCTCTAGAGAGGGGTAAGCATCCCTATAAACAGGTTTCAGCAAGAGGTTAGCCCCAATCCTTAGATCAATTTTATTACACTAACTCAATTTCTACGCTCTTTATAGGTGCTCTCTATAGATACTAGGGTATACTGGCACTATACAGGCTAACTACTAGATTAGAGTATATTATTCTAGAGAGAGATGCTGCTGTTGCATACATTGTATTTACATACACCACAGCATGACTCTTTCGAAGTTCTTATACAATTCTAACTTTTATCCAGTTGTAGTTTCAGCATTTTAAGAATGATTTTAGTTTACTACAGATTATGTATTTTAATTTGCAAGTAGTTTTTTAAATCAAGTATGTATTTAGTAGGAACTAAGTCATCTGTGTTGTACTATTAACTATAATGAACTTGTATATTTACATCAAAATTTTTAGTAAGTTGTGCATTAAAACCTGTTCAAAAGCTCATCTACTACTAGAACACTGCATTTTATGGAACACTGTGCTATTTGCACTAGTTTTACCAATATGCTGACAACAACACTGAATTTAAAATGTCAATACTTCATACCATCAAGCACAGAAAAGAAAGTTTTTTTTTAACAATACAAAGAATCCAGTAGAGTTGATATATCAACATATGAGTGACTATGATGGTAGGGTGACCAGGTAGCAAGTGTGAAAAATCGGGATGGGGGTAATAGGCACCTATATAAGACAAAGCCCCAAATATCAGGACTGTCCCTATAAAATCGGGACAGCTGGTCACCCTATATGATGATGTGAATTAAATGCCCTGTGTTCTATGTGCTGAATCTGTACTGTATCCTCCTCCTTCAGTTAGTATAAGACAAGATTCAGATGTCACCTTTTGGTGCAAGACAGTCTCTCAGGGACATTTGCCAGCTGGTAGGTGCTTCTGACCCCTCCTTCTCCGAGGGCAAAATGGAAGTGTAACAAAATGAATGCAAGAACTCCCACCAACGGCTCTCAAAAAGACAACAGATGTCAAAGACAGTGCACTGTTCCACCTTTCTGTATCAGTCTGGCATGCCTCTCTCTGACATTGGCCACATCAGAGAGTAGCAGAGATGAACTGTAGTAGATAACTCTTTGCTGTTTTTTCTTTTGCGTTTCTGAATGGAAGCCATATTTATATGTGGACTGTTTTTAATTAATAATTTACTCAATTTTCAACCCCCCCGCTTTCTCCTTGATTTATGCAACTCAAATCTGTGGTTATATGTATTGCATAATAGAAACACACACACACACACACATATATCTATATAGATATATATATTTTTATACAGGGTGCTCTAGAAAACTAAAGACACTACTATCTGTTTTAGGTATGGCCCATTTCCAGGCAGTCGGAAGTTAATAGCCACGTTCCTACAAACAGTGAAGTGTCTTTAGTTGGAACTCCTGATCACACTTTATTCAGACTTATTCTCTGTCAAAGGATAACTTAGTAAAGAGAATAAATGAGTCATATCAATAGAAAAAATGTTTATTAATCTCTACTCTGCCTGCGGAGAGTTTTTTAACTTTTATATTTCCTTTCTCTTCTACAATCTATCAGCGCTGACCCCATTCCTAAGGAATAGTGAACTTTCATCAGGAAAAAGGTCTCGGTGTCTCTCAGAATCATTGTTACCTTTTTTTTAATTGCAATCTAGCTCTTTGGTTGTAGGAGCCAGGATTTGGCATGAACAATTCATCAAGCACTGAGTTGATACAGCTCCAAGAAGTTACATTTATTTAATAAGCCATCATGGCCTTTTAAATATTTAGCAAATAAAACGAAGCTTAAAGCCCACTCTCCAGGTTTCAGTTATCTGAATGATATCCCACCTCAAGACTGAGTAATCAGCTATTATTAGCAAACAAAGAGAATGTACTTTGGGAAAGACGACATGCTTCTTCCCAAACCTTTCTAAGAGATAAGTACAGCATTAAGTGGTGTCAGACACTACTTTAGTCAAGAAAAGTTTGTAAGACAAGCGCAAGTTTAAGTAAGCTAAGCTTAAATAAACTCTGTTCCCACCACAGGGTTTCTGCATGTCTTTGTACTTACACAGGGTATTCCATATGTAACAGTACATGTGCTTTCCCCTTCTCCACCTGAGAAGTTTCAAACCTGAATTGTCTACAAAAAGCAGGCTCCAGAGGTTGTAGCTTGTAGATGTGTGCCTGGAGCATGGTACCATGCTCAGTTGAGAATACTATTCCTATTCATAGTAAATATAGTTATAGATTTTTTAAAATCAATTAAGAAAAACAGACCAAGATTTAGTACTAAAATCCTCTCAGACATCCATAAGAAACCAATCACAAACAATGTATGTATTAGCATTACACTCCTGGGAGTTGCAGAGGTTTGGGATTTATAACAGACTCCATTTTAGTTATTTTAATAAAATACACTTTGTTTGAGATGGGTGAGGTATCTCCTACCAGTTCGCTTTCTTCTTCCTCTGCTGTATCTTTCTTGGATTCTTCTTTCTGATCTTCAATATTAGCATCAAAATCCTCCATCTCCACCTAGTCCAAAACACACACACAGAATTATGCTGCATTGCTTGACTTCTGAGTATTACTTGCTTATCCAAAGGGTGCAGAGTAGACCCCAAACTCCAACAAAGAGAGAACAGAATGAGAGGATTTATTCAGACAAATATATTGGTGCAACATATTGAGACAGACTCCACTTTCTTCCCTACATAAACGGTTTCATTTCAGATTCCATTCTTGCCACAGAAAAGAATGGGGAATTTGGTGAGGGGAAGTCACGACCTTCTCCACCACAGATATCCTTTTGTGTTACTGGAGCCTGTAATAGTAAGATATTCTCTCATTTTACACACACACAAACTGTACACAAATTCATGTCAAAACCTGAAGTCTCTAAAAGGATCCCAAACTTGCTATTTATATACCGCAGGGAAATGCCCCCTCTACCTGCCAACATGTCTCTACTCAGTCTTTACTTTGGAGTACTTTAGATACCAGAGTGACAGATACCTTGAAAAAAACAGAGGAATATTATCACATACAGAAATAATTTATGCACATATTCAACTTTGCCCATATAACTGATTACTTTTTGGGACCCATCTCTTTGCTGACGTTCACATATGCATCAAGGAATATAAAACCCTCTCAATGGGTCTGCAGTTCCTCATGCCATTAATGGAAGTTGGATGCCAACATTAGAGTAGAATAAATCCCAAATCTATGCTCATACTCTCTCTTTCTGAGAGCTCAGGCTTTTGCTCCTCTTTTTGAGATTACTAGTTTCAAGAGCATTAGTATTTGTAGACTGGAAAATGAATTGTTGATCTCATGGTTTGTAAGGAACCTTGAGTTGTCAAGTTGAAAAGAATAAATTCTGTTTTCATACTTTCACAGCTCAGGCATTTGTAAGCCCACTGTGAAAGCTGCTCTGACATCAGCATACAGCTGTGCTGCACTCAAACTGTACGTGATCTGTGCACCAATGTAGTCCCAGATCTCTTGACCTACTAAAATATCTAACAAGATTACAGAAATACAGAAAGCTAAAATGCCAAGAATGCATGTCAAAGTAAATTCCCCTTGGTACACAGAGAGCAACATGCTTTTCTCTCAAAGCACTCCTCTCCAGACACATAGTATGGATCCAGATATTTGTTTTCTGTGACAGAGTCTCTGGACTTCCCAAAACAAGGACTTGGAGGAATCAATGGAATTTTGCGAAGCCCCCAACATTTTTCAAACTTATAACCCCACTAATTAAATAAGTTACACAGCTGCAACAATTCTGCAGGAATGCTGAGTTTCTTCAGAGAAGGTAAAGATACTCTTTAACTGATAGTCAACAGTCAGTGGAGGACAAAATAGCTTCTACTCTTCGCTTAAGAAGTGTGAGCATGGTCTCCACAAATGCAGCAGTAAAATCCCTCAAGTTGTTCTTGTGCCTGGGTGAGTCTTAACCATATTTGGTTTGTACATTGCTAAATAGACTACTGGTACTTAATAAATAATAACCAAACTTCTCTTCCGCAATTTACATTTTCAATGTAAACACAAATGCATACATTCTCCACTTCATTCAAATAGAGTGACACTCACCTCTTCAATAGCAGCATCCTGCAACAAAGAACGAATGTCCAAGCGCATCATGTGACGTGGTGCAGTCTCCCAGTGATCAGACATCTAACAAGAGATATACAAAATAAAGCACTTCCTACAACACACCACATTGAAAAAGTGGGTCTTTGATCAGGAGTGATCAGATCTTTCTTGAGTACAGTTACATTGCAGCTATCCTACTGAAATAATTACAGGGGATATGGGCCCATCTTCAACACAGTGAGGGATATATTTGTTCTAAAACAATATGAGGTTTCACCAACATCAATGGACCTGAAAGCCCAAAGAAATTTAACTTGAATAACCCTTGTGACTCCACTTCTATATACAGTTACCCTATTGATCTCCTTTAGCTTGCGTCCATGGATATTCCTCTTGGAACAAGTCTGGTTATCTGCACTCATCTCAGCTAAATACACCTAGAAAGAGAAAATTAGTATTAGACACCATAAACTCATCAGGAAATTAATATGTTACTATCTAAAGCAATTTTCCCATACAGTGAATGTACGTCTGAGCTGCACGTGCAGAAGATGTATACACTGATAAATGAGTGAGCATTTAATACTAAACACCAGCAGGACTGACTGGGGGTTCCATTTGGTTTCCTTTTCCTGAAAGAGGGCTCATTGTTTTAGAGGTACTAGTGAGTGTGAATGACTCCTGACATTACCTCAAAGCCCTTGGTTTTCGCTGCACTCCAGAACTGCTCAAAATGGCGCACCCTGTCATTGATGGCATCCAGGATAATGAAAGGGAAGAAGCCATCATCCAAGGTCTTTTTGAAAGTTTTAAACATACTGGTGCGGTAGGTCTCTTCCATATCAGCTTCATACTCATACTCCATCACCTGGGTCCAGGACAAAAGGCATGTCAAGAGAAAGCAGGAGTTCTAAAACAGCTGGAGTTCAAATCCTGATATCACAACCACTGAGCATAAGGGCAGCAGAACCAAACTTCCCTTTGTATGTACCTTTCTAAAGAACTTGCCCACAGATTAGCTCTAATTTGGCCACACATAGAAATGCCATGTTCAAAAGAACACCACTGCATCGAAACATCAGGTTCCAGCCCTAATTGTAATTACATTGTTATGTGCCTCCCTTAAAAATACACTTTCCTTCCTTTCTCAAGCAGAGATTTAAATCAACAGAGCCACAAATGGAGTATACCTTCTTTTTCACTTTTTTTCCTGTATCTGGGTCTCTCTCCTCTTTCTCCACTTCGGTGATGAAATAGTCATCCAGGCTGAGAACTCTGGGTGCCGGTCCTCCACACTCCACCTCTTTGTCCTGGGAAGGAAATAACCAAGGAATACAAATTCCATTCTACAATGTGGGCCCTCAGTATGCCCAGAGCACACCCCAGCAACCTGATCCACATTCAGTAAGAGAAAGAAAAGAACATTTTACTATCTGTTGCAACTGAACACCTTTCTTTTTATTTCAGTCATCCCAGCTGCCTTTCCCTCTAGTTCTGGGAGGGGATACCCAATCATTTGAAGAACTAGAATCTAAAGCAATTAGAGACTGAGTTTCCAGATCCAAGATTGTTTCTTCCAAGGGACCGACCTAATATGATCTCCCCGTGTTAACTGAAGAAATAGAAGGAAAGGAGAGAAGACGTGTGCACGTAGAGGCACATTCCTAGAGATATGCTGATGTTTTACAGTTAAGAGTCTGGCAACATATAGGAAAGTAGCTATTTATCTACTTACCCGGATGAGTTTTGCTACATGTGTCTTTCCACTGCCAGGCAATCCTCTCATTATGATGACAATCTGATATAAAGATAGCATAAGAGAAAGATGACTTTTTGGACTGCATTCAGCAGAACCCCTGAGTATCGGATGTGACTTATCTACCAACCAACGTGCTCCGGCTCACAATCTTGCATACCCATTGGATACAGTATCACAAAAGAGAGCCAGCACTATGGCATGTTCCTTAACTGTTTTTATTGTGCCCAGTAAGAACCATAACCTCAGCAGACACCTGCTGAAGATCTGGCCCTATAATGTAAGATTGCATAGCATTTGTTAAAATAAAGTTAGTAGTATGAGCCTACCTTAACTATACAATCCTTTGCCAATGTATGTACACCCCTCCCTACAGCATATGGCCAACCCATCCCTCCCACGTACCACAGTCGAACACTGGTCTCAGAAAGAATTCTGAAACTCATAAATATTGTCAATTAATAGGAATCCTCTTCTTGCTCTCCCAAATCCAAGAGGTTTAAATCTCAGATGTATTCCACCTGATTATGTTGTGTTATTCTATTTGTATCATCAGCAAAGCCTTCTTAGAGCTCCCCAAAGTGAACCTTCATAGCTTTTTTCCCAAACCATTTCCTGCAGTCCTTACTTGGTCTATGAGAACACCAAAATTAACAAGTTACGTTTTAGATGTTCAATCTGCTCCCAGTTTTGGGGTTCACAAATTATTCAGTGGCTTTAGATGGGGCAGGGATTTGCTTCAGAAACATGCATACTGCAAATGGGAAATGTATCAGAATAGAGGCCCCTTAACACTGTTTGTTGCCTTCAGAATGGATAGCAGCTCCATGCTACTCACCCTTTCTGGCCTGCTGTCCCGTCCTGGTGGCTTCAAAATATCATCCACGTTCTTAGACTCTGGTTTCCTCTCTACCCGGGGAGCAGGGGGTGGCTGGCGCGGTACTGATGGAGCAGAAATAGGCATCCTCTCCTCAGGGTAATTTCTCCGATCACCTACAAATTTCAGTAATTGCACACAAGTATTTTCTCAGCTCACTAAAATCAGAAATCTAAATCAGAAATCTCAGTTCACAGGATTCTAACAGACCCCAGTGATTTCTGAGACTGTGTGCTTTAGCCAAAATTTAAGATCTGATTGGTAGAGGAGAAGACAGTCTCATTTAGCCAATGCCATAAAAACAGAAAATCTGTACTGACAGAAATATGACCATATTTCCAAAAGGCAGAATGAAATAGTCAAAGAAGAACAAGACTGGAATACAAGATTTTAGTTCAAGTCTCAGCTTTACCAGTGACTTCCTCTGTGGCCTTTGGAAAGTCGCTTAACCTCTTTGTAAACTGTAAAATGGGGATAATAATGACCTACATTCCCGGGGAGTTCTGAGGCTGAATGAATGTTTATAAATAGCTTTGAATATGTAAATCCCCTATATAAATGCTAAGCATCTTTACTCAGTCCATATATACAAGGAAAACGGACTGGTCTTTGTAATGTCTGTGATTAATTCACAATTCTGCAAAGCAGGGAAAAGAAGTCAGATCCAACTCGGAATACCATGGGAAATTCTTTTATTGGAATCCATACTACATAAGGGTGTGATGAAGTTCTAAAAACTCCCAGGTGGTTCTGATAGTTTTGTTCTGATTCACTTCCACTCAGGTGCTCAGAGACCACTGTGCTGAGTTTATTATAAGTCCAAGATGGACAGTTTATCATTCTTATTACATGATATTGATCTGTGGGATTCTTGCTTTCGAGAGGTGTGGACTCTGATAACCTCCTCCCTCTGACTTCTGAAAACTGAAATCAAATCAACTCAGCCCATGGAGTCACGATTACTGCATATGATCACACAGGGTCTTGAAATAGTGTTGCACTTTTAGTGTCAGATGTCACTTTATAGATGTCAATACCAAGTGAGCCACAACTGCAGTCCTAAGCAGTTCTGATCACAGACATCTGTATAACTGGTGGGCAAAATATCTCACTGCTACTTTCTAGATGTCATAACCAGTGAGAGACAGAAGATCACAAGAACAAGACAGACACTGCCCTGATAAATGCCACTAACATTTATATCCATAATGAAGTAATACATCTTCTTGTGATCTACCTTCCTGGTTTCATTTTCCCAACATTGTAGTATTACTTTGGGGCTAAGGAACTATACCTCCAAACATGGAAGGTCCATGATCATAGGTCGGGCGATCAGGCTTTCGTTCGTATGACGGTCTTTCAAAGCCCCCTCGCCTTGAGGAAGGATGGTCTTTCTTGTCACGGTAAGACTGAGTCCTTGACGGTCCAGTTGGAGGTGCCCTGCCAGAAGAGACAGCATTTTGCATAGCTCTGAGATTTCGACTAGAGAGCGCAGATCTGAATTCCCAATCAGTATACAAACATATGTCCTTCAAATGAAACTGACAGTCTGACAGCACCTAATACAGCATCAATCATGTGGATACAACTATGATCCAGCTTGTCCTGCGCTGCATACCTGTCCTCTCGAAGATGGCGTTCTTTCTCAAACCTCTCTCGATCATAGTCTCCTGAGCCTCGGTCTCTGTGCAGTTCCCGCTCCCTTTTAAAATCTCGGTAATCTGTGTTTGCATTGCCTTGACGCTCAAAGTAAGACTCACGATCCCTCTCTCTGTTGTAACGATCCCGCTGGCCTGGATGTTCTGAAAAAAAGAAACCCCCAAAATTTGAATTGTAAAAATATAAGCCAATCCTTAAAAAAACTCCAAGGGAACAGGAAAAGCATAGGAATAATGTTATAGTTATGGGCTTCTAAAAGAAGAAAGCAGCACACAATCTCTAGCAAGGAACAAAAGTTTAGTGTTCTCGGCTATCCACATGATGCTTGCCTACCTTTCTCAAAGGATATCAGAATTAGCCAAGCAGTGCCTACCTTTTGGAAATGGCTGTCTCTCAGGCAAAGGTTCTGGACGCAGAGTTATTCTCTCCCCATAGGGAATTTGTTCAACTTTACTGGTGGTTATATCTGGTAAAGAAATTTGACAAGAAAATAAGTAAGGATATTGTCCCAAATTGCATCCCTCATCCATCTCCTCCCCACTCTAAAAGCAATGACATAGTGGCATTCAAAGTGATCAGAGGGTAACTAGGCCTAAGTATATATTAGTGACCTGCTGTATAAAGAATGTTTGTGCTACATTAATGTTAACTGAATACCACTTAGAGCAACAAACAACTCACATAAGAAAAAAATAATTTAATTTAATTTTTAGGTGACAAATCTGAGAAACTGTCCCAGATTGAGGTGTCATTAGAGGGGGTTTTGGAACAGATTGATAAGTTAAAAGTAATAAGTCACCAGGACCAGATGGTATTCACCCAAGAGCTCTGAAGGAATTCAAATGAAAAATTGCAGAATTACTAACTATGGTTTGTAACCTATCATTTAAATCAGCTTCTGTACCAAATGACTGGAGGATACATAATGTGATGCCAATTTTTAAAAAGCATTCCAGAGGTGATCCCAGCAATTACACAGGCCAGTAAGCCTCACTTCAGTACCAGCAAACTGGTTGAAACTATAGTAAAGAACAGAATTGTCAGGCACATAGATTAACATAATTTGTTGTGGAATAGTCAGCATGGTTTTTGTAAAGGGAAATCATGCCTCACCAATCTACTAGAATTCTTTGAGGGGGTCAACAGACATATGGACAAGGGTGATCCAGTGGATATAGTGTACTTAGATTTTCAGAAAGCCTTTCACAAGGTCCCTCACCAAAGGCTCTTAAGTGAAGTAAGCTGTCATGGGATAAGAGGGAAGGTCCTCTCATGGACCAGTAACTGGTTAAAAGATAGGAAACAAAGGGTAGGAATAAATGGTCAGTTTTCAGAATAGAGAGAAGTAAATAGTCGTGTCCCCTAGGGTTCTGTACTGGGACCAGTGCTATTAAACATATTCATAAATGATCTGGAAAAAAAGGGTAAACAATGAGGTGGCAAAATTTAAAGATGATACAAAACTACTCAAGGTAGTTAAGTCCAAAGCAGACTGTGAAGAGTCACAAAGAGATCTCACAAAACGGGGTGACTGGGCAACAAAATGGCAGATGAAATTCAATGTTGATAAATGCAAAATAATGCACAATAGAAAACATAATCCCAACTATACATATAAAATGATGGGGTTTAAATTATCTGTTACCACTTAAGAAAGAGACCCTGGCAACATTGTGGATAGTTCTCTGAAAACATCCACTCAATGTGCAGCGACAGTCAAAAAGGCTAACAGAATGTTGGGAATCATTAGGAAAGGGATAGATAATAAGAAAGAAAATATCACATTACTGTTATATAAATTGATGGTAGGCCCACATCTTGAATACTGCGTGCAGTTGTGGTTGCTGCATCTCAAAAAAGATACACTGGAATTGGAAAAGGTTCAGAAAAGGGCAACAAAAATGATTAGGGGTATGGAACAACTTCTGTATGAGGAGAGATTAATGAGATTGAGACTTTTCAGCTTGGAAAAGAGATGACTAAGGGGGGATATGATAGAAGTCTATAAAATCATGACTGGTGTGGAGAAAGTAAATAAGGAAGTGTTATTTACTCCTTCTCATAAGACAAGAACTAGGGGTCACTCAATGAAATTAATAGGCAGGTTGAAAACAAACAAAAGGAAGTATTTCTTCACACAACACACAGTCAACCTGTGGAACTCTTTGCCAGAGGATGTTGTGAAGGCCAAGACTAAAACAAGATTAAAAAAAAAAAAAACACTAGATAAATCCATGAAGGATAGGTCCATAAATGGCTATTAGCCAGGATGGGCAGGGATGGTGTCCCTACCCTCTGTTTGCCAGAGGCTGGAAATGGGTGACAGGGGATGGATCACTTAATGTTTACCTGTTCTGTCCATTCCCTTTGGGGCACCTGGCACCAGCCACTGTTGGAAGACAGGATACTGGGCTAGATGGACCTTTGTTCTGACCCAGTATGGCCGTTCTTATGTTCCAATGTATTTTTCCCCATATACTTTTTTCATTAATTCCATTAAAGATATAGAAAAGAGCTAGCTAAACTTCTCAGGAGAGTGATCCAAACAGAAAGGAACGCCTTAGCAATGCTACAGTTAAGCCAATGTCTGCATTTTTTTTTCTGGTGTATACCATTGAAGGCCAGTGGTGAAACAAACAGGACTGCAGTGAAGTCCTTTTATTATTGTATTACTGGAATGGAATTTGACTCTTCCACAGAAAAATACAGTGCAACAAAACCCTGGGTTCCTAGGAGAGTTAAAATGTTCATGGCTCAAATTCAACACAAAATCTCATCTCAGAACTGCATATTTTTAAATTTTTAATTAAAAATATTCTGACTTTCCCTGTTGAAATTTCATGGATGTAAAACATTTAAATAGGAGGAGTTTTTATAGCATTTGTGTAATTCAAAGCAGCTGCAATTTTTAAAAAGTTACTTCTTTTAAAAAAGCTAGTTGTTTCAAGATTGAAAATTTTGTAAGTAGAAGTAAATAACCAAATATTCTATTGAAAATAATTGAAACATCTTTTACTACTGTTGAAATTAAAGGAAAGGGGAGTTTAACTGTCAAAAGTTAAAATGTGTTGTACACTCTACAAGCCAATGGAAAGAAAGGAGGGAGTGATTCAAACAGGACAGCTGCTGGGGGAATAATGCCACACATACACCCTCTCTTCCTTTCCCATAAACGGTCTCTGGCTGAAGAGACAAGGGACAGCAGCACAAACTGGAAGGTTACAGCTGCGGAAAAGCCTAAAACACAAGCAGGAAGGCACAGAACTGGACCGCAGGAAGTAGTTGGTCAGGGCACAGACAATAAGGGGAGCTTATGGGTTTTGTTTTTTTTTTTTTTTTTTTAAATAGCCCAGTTTTATCTACTGTAGTAGCTAACAGTCTGTTTCTGGTTGTTTTATAGCCTAACAAAAAGCCCCATAAAAGTACAAACTTTAAAAAAAGTAGCTGAAAAGCAGCTCAGTTTTAAAACTGAACTGGTGGGTCATTTTCCCAAGGCAATATATTTCCTTCCTTAAGGAGTTTAGCTGTGGGATCCTCCCACCTTGCAGGGTCCTAGATCCCATGCGCCAGCCCGAGCCTGAACATCTACACTGCAATTAAACAGCGCCTTAGCCTGGCCAGCTGCAGGTTTTTAACTGCAGTGTAGCCATACCCTATAGTTGTCAGAGAGATACCAGTATGTAGACAACAGTAACTGAAGTAGCTAGTTTAGATTCCTGTCAGTTTTCTAACAATTTTTAATAAAATATTCAAATCATGGGATCATTTCTGCTCCAAATAACTACTGGCAAGTTGCAGAGACAATAAAGCTAGCTATACCACAACACTCATTTTAAAAGTAACTGCATTTGAGCAGAATCTCTCTCTTTTTAAAGCAGTGTAAAACCATGGGAAATTAACTCTCAACTAAAAGCTTCATATTAAATTTTAGCTGTGGGAAATTCAGTATTAAATCTGAACCCCATCCATCATTCTTCATGATATAAGTTGTAAACTCTTGAGGGGAAGGCATTTATCTTCATTCTTGCCTGCAGAGCTCCTCATCTACTTTGGGCAATACACAGACAAATAATAAAAGAACAATAGCATTAGATGTTCTACTGTAGGCATTCAAAAAGTGGTCCATTTTATTACAGGTGATCTAACAGATAAAAAGACCTGTAGAGTATCAATATTGTATTGGTTATGATATACTGTTTTGTGATTCTATCACATGGGCTAGTATTGATTAGAACCAGAGGTGGCAATAAGCAATTTAATTCATGTGAAGCACCTCAACATCACACCATGGAAGGAAAAAGTAAACTCAAGCAGAGGGGAGAGGATCATCACTTTTTTTTTTTGGGGGGGGGGGGGGAGTGGGGCAGAAGGATTGGCCTTATGGGCGGGCGAAAGCTCAGGGTGCTATGGTTACACACCCTGCCCCCACACACAGTCAGCCCAAGGTCCCTTTAGCTCCCAAGTGCTGGGCCTGGAGCTGAGGAGGGGAAAGGCTGGGGTGCCCAAGCTGGGGGCTCCTATGGTACACTAGGGTCCAGCTGCTAGTTCTGGCCAGGCTGGGGAGGGATGGGACTTCCACTTCCCCTGAATAGGCTGATCCCACGGTCAGGTCAGACTCACCTCTGGGAACCTCCCCCAGCTGCAGGAAGCTCTGCTACTGCTGGCTGGCAGCCCAGTTCTGAAGGCTGCACTGTCTCCAGCAGCAGCACAGAAGTGAGGATGGCATGATATGGTATTGCCACCCTTACTTCTGTGCTGCTGCTGGCAACGGCACTGCCTTCAGAGCTGGGCTGCCAGCCAGCAGCCGCCACTCTCCGGCCACCCAGCTCTGAAGGCAGTGTTGCTGCCAGCAGCAGCACAGAAGTAAGGGTGGCAATACCATATCATGTTACCCTTACCTCTGCACGGCTGGGCTCCCAGCCAGCAGCCAGTCCTCTTTGGCCGCCCAGTTCTGAAGGCAGCACCACCACCAGCAGCAGCACAGAAGTAAGGATGGCAATACCGTGACGCCCCCTCCAATAGCCTTGCGATCCCCCCACTACCCTGTTTTGGATCGGGACCGCCACCCACATACACACCTGGTTACAACACTGTGAAATTTCTGATTTAAATATCTGAAATTGTGAAATTTAAGGTTTTAAAAATCCTATGACTGTGAAATTGATCAAAATGGGACCGTGAATTTGGTAGGGCCCTACTCATGAGTGCAGTCTAATTATTTAAGTGAGGAGATCAATCATATAGCAACAACTTTCAACCTCACTGCAGCTGAGGTATTTGGCACTACATAATGATGTACAGAGCTTACACAGGGATTGTGTTAAGATTCTGGGCATACTATGTGTGGTAAATAACACTCAGAGCACGTCCCTTTAGAAATAAAAAGTTTTGTTTAAGTGGTCCTGTATTAGAGGCAAAATTATTTTTTCCATTACTCACCCCGCCCATGGCCATAGTCCACAGTCTGTTGAATTAGAGGTGGTTTAGGAATTGATGATGGTACAGATGATGGAATGGGAGTATGACCTGGAGGAGGTATTTTCCCAGAAGATGACACTGTATGTGGCAGCACTGATTCTGGTTTACATAATGCATACTCCAAATTTGCTCCTTTATCTTCACTGGTATCCCAGAGTCCATGAAAAGAATCCTCATCCCAACGTTCCTGTTTCACAGCACCAGATGTTGGCTTTATTGCAGGAGCCTGACTTGAGGTTGTAGCTGAAGCCGGAATCGGAGCACCTGGCCTTGTCACCGGGGCACCTGGCCTCGTCACCAGGGTGGGCTGCCTGAACAACACTGGTGGCTTTATAATAACAGCAGGAGAAGGTTTGATAGGCTGAGATTCTATTGGTGTCTCAGGTGGCAGCTGAGAAGATGCCTAAACATGGGAAACATTTCACCCTATGTGAAAACAGTAAACAAAGCCCTCTGACCAACTTGTGTCCCATTAAGCCTTGCAACCTGACCCAAACACAACAGGACCCAGCTACAAGTGTAGGGTTCGGGTCAGGTCGGCTCAGATCATCTCCTCCTACCTGTGGGATTGGCATCATGGAAACGGATTCCGGGTCCTGCCACTTGGCTGCACTGTGTCTGCTAGGGAGTTATCACTCTTACAGGTCACAGTGCCTCTCACTCCACAGCACACACAGTGCAGCAAAGCAGTGGTAGCTGACAGGAGTGGAGTACACAGCTGCTGCCACACCAACCCCGTGAGCAGAAGGTGGCCGGTGATTGATCACGTTCACCAGGCATGGGGAGTAGGAAGTCCCCCGCAGGACAACCCCCAAGACAAGGCAGTGGTGGCGGCAATACAGTTTCAGGGGAAAGTGTCAGGTCCGGGTGGGCCAGAAAAGGACTTGACACTCTCAGGTCAGGTTCAGGTCGGCTGTGCCAGGGTCAGATTCAGGCCCAGGTTGGTCTTTAAAATTGGGCCCGAGCAGACCTCTAGTCCCAGCTGAGAAGGGTGCTTTCATAACAGTCTGTAATTCACACATTCCTAACCATTAGCATTTTCAGGTCCCCTCATAGGAGGGCAAAACTACACACTGATATCCCAAGAACAGCCATTCTGGATTGGTTGGTGTGTGCTCACTACTTGAAACCCCTAAATCCATTAAGTCAAATATGAATAAAGTCTTAACGTAACTGTTCTCTCATCCAAAATGACCTTACCAAATTAAGGTCTCTCTTTAGCCAAAGCACCTTCCAGGCTGTTTCTCTCAGCTAAATTTTACTTTATAGATATGTGAAGAAGAATTGCCTCTAAACAGCAGCAGGTCTAAGACGGCATCTATACTAAAAATGTATCCATTGCGGACACCAGGTGCAGCTGAACCAGTGCTGAAAATGATTTAAGTGCAACTGTACACTAGAGTAAACCATATTCTGCACTGTTTCACAAACCCTAATAGAGGACTGCTCAGAAAAAGCTGTGATCATGGTTTGGCCATTCTAGTCTTGCAGTTAAACTGTATTCAGCAACACCCACTGCCCACAATTAGTAAACTTCCTAGTATAAACAGAGCTTCCAACACTACAGTTACCTCTCTTGCTCTTGTGTACATACACCCTATCTACAGCTATTGCCAGCTTCTTGACAACTCCCAGCAAAAATCCACCCTCTCCAGAGTTAACACCAGCTCCTTGGCTCACCCTACAGAAAACTTGCTTTCTGTTCAGCTAACATCAACCTCCTGGCTCTCCTAGGTTACATGGAAAATGTGCTCCTTTATTCACCACAAGGTCCATAGTCTGACCACCCCGCTCCCATAACAGATACAATACTCAACATGACAAATTAAAAGAAGCACTGTAAAACTTTGTAACAAAGGTGGAGAAAGCTACTAGGGGACAGGCTGTTCTAGATTTGATTTTGACAAATAGGGAGGAACTGGTTGAGTATTTGAAAGTGGAAGGCAGCTTGGGTGAAAGCGATCATGAAATGATAGAATTCATGATTCTAAGGAATGGTAGGAGGGAGAACAGCAAAATAAAGACAATGGATTTCAAGAAGGCAGACTTTAGCAAACTCAGCGAGTTGGTAGGTAAGATCCCATGGGAAGCAAGTCTAAGGGGAAAAACAACTGAAGACAGTTGGCAATTTTTCAGCGAGGCATTATTAAGGGCACAAGAGCAAACTATTCCACTGTGTGGGAAAGATAGGAAGTATGGCAAGAGACCACACTGGCTTAACCAGGAAATCTTCAATGATCTAAAAATCAAAAGTGAGTCCTACAAAAAGTGGAAACTAGGTCAAATTACAAAGGATGAATATAAACAAATAACACAAGTATGTAGGGACAAAATTAGAAAGGTCAAGGCACAAAACGAGATCAAACTAGCTAGGGACACAAAGGGTAACAAGAAAACATTCTACAAATACATTTGAAGCAAGAGGAAGAACAAGGTAGGCCCGTTACTCAATGGGGTCGGGGGGGGGGGGGGGGAGATAACAGAAAATGTGGAAATGGCAGAGGTGCTTAATGACTTCTTTATTTTGGTTTTCATCGGGAAGGTTGGTGGTGATTGGATGTCTAACATAATGAATACCAGTGAAAATGAGGTAGGATCAGAAAAGGCTAAAATAGGGAAAGAACAAGTAAAAAATTACTTAGACAAGTGAGATGTCTTCAAGTCACCAGGGCCTGATGAAATGCATCTTAGAAACTCAAGGAGCTGACTGAGGAGATATCTGAGCCATTAGTGATTATCTTTTAAAAAACAACAAGGAGTCCTTGTGGCACCTTAGAGACTAACACATTTATTTGGGCATAAGCTTTCGTGGGCTAGAACCCACTTCATCAGATGCATGGAGTGGAAAATACAGGAGCAAGTATAACTACATGAAAAGATGTGAGTTGACTTACCAAGTGTGAGGTCAGTCTAACGAGACAATTCAATTGACAGCAGGATACCAAGGAAGGAAAAATAACTTTTGAAGTGCTAATGAGAGTGGCCCATTTCAGAAAGTTGACAAGAAGGAGTGAGTAACAGTTGGGGGAAATTAGTATTGGGGAAATTAGGTTTAGGTTTTGTAATGATCCAACCACTCCCAGTCTCTTTATTTTTCCTCCCTTGGTAGCCTGCTGTCAGTTGAATTGTCTCGTTAGACTGACCTCACACTTGGTAAGGCAACTCACATTTTTTCATTTATTTATACCTGCTCCTGTATTTTCCACTCCATGAATCTGATGAAGTAGGTTCTAGCCCACGAAAGCTTATGCCCAAATAAATTTGTTAGTCTCTAAGGTGCCACAAGGACTCCTCATTGTTTTTGCTGATACAGACTAACACGGCTACCACTCTGAAACCTATCTTTGAAAAGTCATGGAAGATGGGATAGATTCCAGAACACTGGAAAAGGGCAAATATAGTGCCAATCTATTAAAAGGAAAATAAGGACAACCCATGGAATCATAGACCAGTCATCTTAACTTCTGTACCCGGAAAGATAATGGAGCTAATAATTAAGCAATCAATTTTCAAACATCTAGATGATGATAAGGTGATAACTAACAGTCAGCATGGGTCTGTCAAGAACATATCGTGTCAAACCAACCTGACAGCTTTCTTTGATAGGGTAACAAGCCTTGTAGATAGGGGGAAGAGGTAGATATGGTATATCTTGACCTTAGTAAAGCTTTTGATACGGTTTCGCATGACCTTCTCATAAACAAACTAGGGAAATGCAACCTAGATGTAAGGTGGGTGCAAAACTGGTTTGAAAACAGTTCCCACAGAATAGTTATCAGTGGTTCACAGTCATGCTGGAAGGGCATAACAAGTGGGGTCCCGCAGGGATCAGTTCTTGGTCTGGGTTCTGTTCAATATCTTCATCAGGATTTAGATAATGGCACAGAGAGTACACTTATAAAGTTTGCAGACGATACCAAGCTGGGAGGGGTTGCAAGTGCTTTGGAGGATAGGATTAAAATTCAAAATGATCTGGACAAATGGCCTGAAGTAAACAGGATGAAATTCAATAAGGACAAATGCAAAGTACTCCGTTTATGAAGGAACAATCAGTTGCACACATACAAAATGGGAAATGGCTGCATAGGAAGGAGTACTGCAGAAAGGACCAAAAGCTAAATATGAGTAAACAGTGTAACGCTGTTGCAAAAAAAAAAAAAGCAAATATCATTCTGGGATGTATTAGCAGGAGTGTTGTAAGCAAGACACGAGAAATAATTCTTCCACTCTACTCTGTGCTGATTAGGCATCAACTGGAGTATTGTGTCCAGTTCTTGGTACCACATTTTAGGAAGGATGAGGACAAACTGGAGAGAGTCCACAGAAGAGTGACAAAAATGATTAAACGTCTAGAAAACATGACCTATGAGGAAAGATTGAAAAAACTGGGTTTGTTTAGTCTGGAAAAGAGAAGACTGAGGGGGGACATGATAACGGTTTTCAAGTACATAAAAGGTTGTTACAAGGAGGGAGAAAAATTGTTTTTCTTAACCTCTGAGGATAGGACAAGTAGCAATGGGCTTAAATTGCAGCAAGGGAGGTTGAACATTAGGAAAAAACTTCTTAACTGTCAGGGTAGTTAAACACTGAAATAAATTGCCAAGGGAGGTCATGGAATCTCCATCACTGGAGATTTTTAAGAGCAAGTTAGACAAATGCCTGTCAGGAATGGTCTAGATAATACTTAGTCCTGCCATGAGTGCAGGGGACTGAACTAGATGACCTTGAGGTCCCTTCCAGTCCTATGATTCTATGATAAATACAAATGAATGGCAAAGCTCTGCTGGAGCCACATGCGGCTCTTCAGAAGTTAATATGCAGCTCCTTGTATAGGCACCAACTCCTGGGCTGGAGCTACAGGCACCAACTTTCCAATGTGCTGGGTGGTGCTCACTGCTCAACCCCTGGCTCTGCCACAGGCCCTGCTCCTACTCCACCCCTTCCCGCACCCTCCCCTGAGCCTGCCGTGCCCTCACTCCTCCCCCATACCCCCAGAGCCTCCTGCACGCCACAAAACAGCTGATTGGGAGGTGCAAAGAGGGAGTGGGAGGCACTGATCGGCTAGGCCGCTGGTGGGTGGGAGGCACTGGGAGCGGGGAACTGATGGGGGGCTGCTGACGTATTATTGTGGCTCTTTGGCAATGTACATTGGTAAATTCTGGCTCCTTCTCCCATTCAGGTTGGTCATCCCTGGTATAAAGCATACCACACATCCAAAGTTAGGCAGCAAGCCTCTTCCTTTATGTACATTTACATAATGCATTGCATTACACGTTTTGGGATTGGCTCGGTTACTCTGTAGGAAGCAATCCCTGTACAGCATGCTCTGTCCATGCACTGTCCATATATGACTTACTCTTTACCTAGTCTTTGCTCCCAACTTATCTTATTCCATTATTTTTTCCATTATAAATAGTTCCCCCTTACCTTAGCTAGTACAGACATTCTGTTTCCAGGCTGTTGATCTATTTACCTCCCTAACCCTGTTTCCCACGAAATGAGGCCTCACCCATGTCCAATTACTCATGTCAAGTCAGGCCTACATATGGAAAGCACAGTTTGTGTACACTGAAGAAAAAATTACTCTTCTAGCTTCCTACACAGAGCCTGTGCCAAAGGTTGCTGAGAAACACAGAAGTTGAGTTGCTTCAACATCTGGAAAACAGACAATCTAGAAGAAAATGGGTGAGCAGATTTCATGCTCTTCTGCCAATCAGTGTCTAATATTTATTTACCTACTTCATGGATGTGCTGATAGGATTCGGTCATGTTTGTAAAATGATTTAAACAGTTTTAGCAGTATGGTGATTTAAGTAGTATATTATTATACCCATTATTCAGTGGGTGCTTTCCAAACACAAAGGAGGGGACAGTCCCTGTTCCAAAGAGTTTATAATCTAAAACAGTGGTTCTCAAACCCTTTTTTCCCTGCGGACAACTTGAAAATTGCTGAGGGTCTCGACAGACCACTTAATGATCTTTCCAAATGTTGTTTGTACCATTAACTAACTATTGTAAAGTGCTTTGGATAAAAGTGCTATATAAAAAAAACTTATAATAATTAACGTTTTTTTGTTCTACAAATAAAAGCACTCAACTCATATTTTAATATCAGTAGTCTCACCTTTCTAATGTGATGGATGTGTCCTCTCTCCCTTGCCCCAGCAGCCACCAAGCTGGGGCTGGGGGGAGGGGGGGGTCTCTCCTCCTCTCTCCCCCACCACAGCAGCCCCTGAGCTAGGGCTGGGAAGAAGAAGGGTCTACCGCGGCAGCTCCCCAGCTGAGGCTGGGAAGGAGGGCCATCTCTCTCCGGCAGCCGCAGCCCTGGAGCTGGGGAAAGTCGCCTGTTTCTCTGGCTTCCGCAGCCCTGCATGTCCCAAATTCCCCTACCCCCTCTTCTCACCCCATTGTTCGCTCCCATCTACCCCTATTCCCCCCAGTGCCACCACCTCACCTTACATGTCCGCCTTCTCCAGGGTCTAGATACCTAATTAGTGGAGCCATGCCTGAGCCACTCCACTAATTAGGTGGGTGGCCCTTCATTCTTTCATGTGCGGCCACCCAGGCGTGCACCTTAGAGGGAACTATCTGCAGACCACCTTAACGGAGCTCACGGACCACTGATGGTCCGCGGACCAGAGTTTGAGAACCTCTGATCTAAAAAGATAAAGAGATGAAGGACAGGGGAAAGGTATACAGTGTTCAAGCAGAGTGATCTGGGTGACAGGGCAAAACTTCTTAATTTAACTTTTTAAAAGTGTAAAATTAAGATATCTTCTCCTATCCTCCCTACAAATAACTGAATTACTTTGATCCATATCAATACTTCAGATTAACAAGTATGTGAAACACACACATACAAATATACAAGAATATTGTATCAAACAAATGTACAGTAGAACTTCACTAATCTGAACTACTGGAAGGGAGAACCCAGCGCAGGTAAGTGAAGTTTGTAGCCCAATGAGTGCTGGGGCAGAACACCAGCACCATCAGACAATTATAAATGTCCTACTCCTTCTTCAGGGGATTACCTGAATGCCTGGGGCACGCTAGGAATTGATATGTTGCTCCCACACTGGAAAAAGCATGTCATGTTCCCCCTGGTCTATGAGAAGCATGTCATTAGACACATTACTCTTGCCCCCAACACAGCAGCAGAATCTCACTGGCTTGTGTTTATATCAACTACAAGCTCAAAAGTTCTTTTTCCATTTGGGTTTGTAGGTTACCAAAATTCAGTTTTGCGAGATTTGACTAAGTGTAAAGTATTATTTAATGAGTTACCTACCTCAGTTTGCTTCGCCTCACCATCAGAAGCCAGGAAATATCTATTTTAGCTAGATTCTAGATTTGAACTAATGTTCACACCCAGGTGAATTATCAACAGCATTTCATTCCTTTAGCACAGATTTCATTTACCTGAAAGGCACGTGGCCTTGTAGTTGTGGTTTGTGATCTAGAAGTTTCCTGTGATGAGAGTTGGGGCATGTGGGGATCAGGCACAAACTCTTTCAACTTCTGCAGCTGTTCTTTTTGTTCCCTGCACATCAATCACAAAAGTGTGTTACCATTCTGTGGCATAAATGCACGGTTAAAAAAAAAAGGCAGGGGGGAACCGATACTTACATCAACAAAATATATTGTAGTAGTAGTAAGAATCAATAGCCACTACAGAGTTTACGACTGGGATAAGCTAGGACACAAGCAGCTGGTAGCACCCCAACAGCCAGCATACTGGGAGAGACTTGACTTAGATTGTAAGCTCTTTGATGTAGGGACCATCCTTTTGTTGTGTGACTGTAGGGTGCCTAGCACAATGGGGTCCTGGTCCACGACTGGGACTCCTAAGTGCCACCTCAATACAAACAATAAATAACAGCTGCAACAACTCAGAGCTCCCCTAACATCCAATGTTCCTAACATCTGGCTTTGGAAAAATGCATTGGTTGGCAAATCCAGAACAACACACAACTGATACCAGACTTGTCAGATGCACAGAGAACAGATCTAGTTGAAGACACCTGAAGTTGAGAGAAGCTATTCTCTACATTTCTATTACTGCTTCTGTCTCAAAGCATCATCAGAAGGAGTCTTATCAATTTCAAGCCACTTACACTGCATTGTTCTGCTTAGGATCTGCTCTTTCTTAAGTACGCAATGAGAAGAGTCAGCATAACGTAGAAAACACAACTCTCAATATGGTTTGATACAAAAGGGTGACTTCCCCAGCATTAACTTGAAAACTGAGGAAAACAGTCAACAGAATCTTCTTTAATTGAACCCTTTCTTTGGCGCTGTAGAGAGAATCTGCTTTCACATATGAAGCCTTCTTGTTTCAGTGTATCAATTTATTAGACCTTAAACACCATTCTCTAAAGCACAAGTGACAAAGTCCCTGCCAACCTGGTGTATTAAACCAGTTCCCATGACAGATTAAATTCTTCAGAATCATAACTTCCATTCACTTTTTGAAAATTACATTTCCAGCACTTCAGGTTGCAGCTAAAACCTTCCATATGGGAATACAAGGTATATCATCTTTATGAGTGTGAAAACAGAACAGCTTCGAGAGAGGGAGAAAATGCCCCCATTCATTTCAAAGTGTTTTTAACTGAAACCTAAGGACGACAAATGTCAACAGTAACTGTTTAACTGTTCATCATTTTAGCATAAAATCCAGCTTGTGCGATTATCACCCTAAGGGGTGCAATGGCAGATGCAGGAAAGTGGGGGCACCCCACCCCCTTGACTTTGTCTTTACCAAATATTGCTCCCTCATTGATCTTCCTGTTCCCTCTGGAGGATGAACCATGACGCTCTGTTCTTAGGTCTATTCCTCTTCTTTCTACACTCTTCTCTGAAAGACCTCATTCATTTACATTCCAATTTATAAGTTTACCTCTTCCTTTTTTGATGTTCCTTCCTACAAATGTGCATGACGCACCCACACCCAGGGTATCAGTGCACCATCCAAGCTTTCTCTCTCTTTATATTACACCATTATGGTACCTCTGAATGTTTCCAGTGATAAGGGATTTTGGAAAACGGTTTGGAAGAATATTTTGCTGTTTATTATTGCTCGGCCACTCTTCAGGATTCTTGTGATAATGATGTAGCAGAAATTGTTTTACATTTCATTATGCATATAGTAAAATCCTGCATCAACCTCATTTTGGAGCTGTGGGTTGACTACATGATGAACATAGCTTTTGCTATGGGATGCCTGGAAAGGGGCAATCTCTGAGATCATCAGTTGGCTGGGCCCTGGTTTATTACATTTGGATTTGGATGTGGACAGAGAGCCACTGCAGCAAGCAGAGAACTGAAGTGGCAAACTCTCATCAGGCTCTGTTGCCTAACGAGTGGACCATGACATTTTGAACCAGCAGGTGAGGGGTTTTTTTTTTGCCTTCACACATTCAACCCCAGGTACAGCACATTAGAATAATTGAGTTTTGCAGTGATAGCTAGTTGCATCACCGTGGACAGATCCACATCTAAGAAGCCATGCTCCTGACTAGCCAAGGATGTAATAAAAAGCATATTTTGCTACTGTCATCATCCAGTAATCTACGGACACTGAGGAGTCTAGTAGCATCCCAAGACTGCATATCACTGAAACTGAAAAAGTAGACATCTTCAGTTATTTACTAAGTGCCAGTGATGTGCTGAACACTGTACAAGAAACAGAAAAAAAGATGCTTTCTCTCACAAGCATCTTAAAAACTTGAGGACCATGCTTCACTTTGGCAAGTTCTTCAAAGCATTTTCTTCTTCCCACCAGTATCACCTCTGTCTTTCCCAGGTTTTGTTTTAATCAACTGTTTTTCATTCAGCAGCAGTGCTCTCTCAGGTACTGAGATATCTGGATGATAGCATCATCTACAGAAGATCTGCAGCTAACTGACATCTGCATGTTGTTGGCATTGGGTCCGTAGTATCTCAAATCTTCCCTAGAATTGTAATTTAATAAAGGATGGCAAAGTTGAATAGAAGGATAAACAACATTAAACCCTGAGAGAGTCCTCATGTGAAATCTCTCTAGGAAGTGCAATAGCCCACATGACATGACAGGAATGAGGGAAGCCAATTTAATGCAATTCTGCTCATCTCACCAGGTCACTCAGATGAGTCATCAACACTTCATAATTAAAGGGTGCTGGTCAAGGGTGCAGACAGATCTAACATCAGCATGTATGTGTGCCAACTGTCTTTGAAAAAGAGGAGATTTTCCATCAGTGTGACCAGTGCTGTTTCTGTTCCATACGCTGGTCTAAAATCTGTCAGGGAAGATTCTAAGATATTAGCAGAGGTCAAGTGCTGCTGGAGATGGCTTTTCACCAATACGTCAATCACTTTGCTTGGGAAGGGAAGGTTATCAGCAAAGTCATTGACGTTGAGTGATGGTTTCCTGAACACACGCTGGACGACTGCATGTTTCAGGAAGGCTGATAGGCTGCTATCTCTGAAGGTGTTAATGTTCTATGTCAACAGTAGACTCAAGTGCACCTGACTGGCTGCCACCAACCAAGAGGGGTACATATAGGATTTCTAAGAACTGGAGATGCCATCTTTGATCCAGTCAATCTTTTCTCAGTATACTTTACAAAGTTCTTCACACTGGGTGATGCTAGATTTCAAATGAGGGAAGGCAGTCAGGAACCATGATAAAAAAAATAAGCACTGTACAAAACCAAATTAATCCATATTAAATGGATTAAGATCTGGCTAACTGATAGATCTCAAAACATAATTGTTAACAGGGAATCATCAATAATTAGGAAGACTCTACAAGAGTCCCACAGGGATCAGTTGTCAGCTCAACTCTGTTCAGTATTTTTACCAATAAATTGCAAGAAAATATAAAACCACAGCTGATACAATTTGCAGATGACAAATATTGGTGGGGTGGCAAATAACCAGGAGAACAGAACTACATTTAGGAACATAGAATGTGGGCAGCCATATTTACTGGACATGTGTGCGTGGTAGTGAGAGGTGGAAACCTCAGGAAAGCAGTAACTCTGAAAAGGACTTAAGGGTCACTAGATAATCCACTGAACATGAGCTTCCACTGTGAAGCAGTGGCAAAAAAGGCTAACCCAATCCTTGGATGCATAAACAGGGAAATGTTAAATACATAGAGAGGTGATATCAACTTCACATACAGCACAGGTGAGATCACTACTGGAAAACTGTGTCTAATTCTGATGTCTAAACTTTAAAAATGATTGTGAAAAATTGGAGAGGGTTCAGAGAAGTACTACAAAAATTAATTTGAGGTCTGGAAAACATACGTTACATTGAGAGACTTACGAGCACAATCTATTTTGGTGATCAAAGAGAAACTTAAGAGCTACTAGATCAGAGTCTTTAAGTACCTACACTGGAAGTAAACATTAGACTTTATGGAACTCTTTAACCTAGCACTGACATAACAAGATGCAATAATTGGAAGTTAAAGTTAGATAACTTCAAACTGGAAACAAGACAACTTTTAAATAGTGAAACACTAGAACAGATTATCAAGGAAAATGGTTAGTTCATCATTATCTGGAGTCTTTAAATCAAGACTGGCTGAAAGTCAAAGGGACTTAGGTGCCTAACTCACTCAGGCACTTTTGAAAATCTCAACATGGATGTCTTTCTAATAGGATCTAACTCAACAAGTTATTGGTCTTGACAGTAGTGAAAAATTCCCTCAACTGGAGGAATTACTGGATGAAGTTCTATGCTCTGCATTATACAGCTATGACTAGACAAAATCTATGCAGGTCATTATGCAGAACAGTTCCTTTGGATAAAATTTTGCATCTGCTATTGTGTAGAAGGATTTATTGGTTTCTCTAATGTCTGCAGCATAGGACTACAGGAATTCCTTGCTCAGCAGTCACGTTAAAGCTACTGGACAACAGGTGGTTACAGAGATCATCAGCACTCTGATTCCATGGTTGGATAAAATTCTCCAATATAATGTTTTGGAAGCTTGCTGAGGTCATGAATCTCCAAGGGCAGACCAGCACAGTCAATTTGTCTGCCTGGTGAGAGACAGAACCGCAGCTCCTCTCTGGAGGAGGAGATTATCTGACCAGGAAGTTGCTGACCAGGATTATGTTACCTATGTCTACACTACAACCTAGACTAAAGATCAGGTCTAGTATGCATGTGGGGACAGAAACGCATAATAAACTGAATATAAAATCTTGGTCCTAGGTGCTGGAGATATTATTCACATGGATACTTAAATCTCCTCACTCAAAGAGTCATGGAGACTCCACTACAAGGCTGGTTAATAAACCTGTTAGGTCCAATAAGAAGCCAAGGTCGTGAGGCAGTCTACAAACCAGTAGTATTGCCTTGCTGACTCTCAGATTAAATGACCCATTTGACAGATTTAATTTTGGGGGTCACCTGTACATTCTTGCAGATCTGATTACTTAATATTATCCAGTATGCTTGCTCCTCAACACAAACTGAATATGGCAAAAGAAGTTCCTCATCTTTCCCCAAACACCTTCCTCTTCCTTTTCCACTGACGTTGTAAAAACCATAGCCTCCCAGTCACTCAGCCTTATTAGTTGTGTGTGATTTTCCACGCATCTTCCCTCTTCACATATTGGTAAATTCCTGCTGCAATTTCCTGTATGTTATCTAAAATAATATGATCTTTCCTCTGTTCTTATGAACAAAATCCTTATACATGCACTGGTTCTTTTTCATTTTGACTACTCTAACCTCCTCCTCTCTGCCCTTGCTAATTTCCGTATCACTTACCTCCAGCGTTTTCAGAATGCAACAGCTAAAGTCATCTTCAGGCACTCATTGGCTTCCTCTTAACTTTTATATCAAGTCAAAATTTTTTGTCCTCATTTTTACAGATCTTCACAACCCTGCTTCTGCCTACACCCTAGGTATTTGCAATGTTCTCATCCTCTCATATGGGTTCAGTTAAAATACAGTGATAATTGAAATGGACTAAAGGAAAATTAAGATAGTAATATCTTGGGATTTGCACAGAATAAGAAATCCAAATGCTTCAAGCCAAACATTCATCACATCTGGGGGTGAGGAAGGAAATTATTGCCCTCCACACAGTACTGTACAATTGAATGAGTTTAAAAGATCAGCTGGCCTAGGGGCAGCCCCTTGAAGCATCATGTATTGGTAACTGCAAGAGGCATAAGGACAGAACAGATGCAATAATTGTCTAAACTGATAAAGCAAAACCTATGACCCTACCTGACAGTATTTAATACAATTCTATGGATTACTTCAGATAAATTAGCAACTTTTTTCCCCAAAAGAAATTACAAGATTAGCCAACTCACCGAAGCATTTTCAGCTCCTGGGCAGCCTTCAGGATTATTTCATGCTGCCTTTGACTAAGGACCATTACCCCTCCAAGTGACTGTTCAGGGTCCAGGTTTGGCTCTGCTCCCAGCATGTCAGATGAACGTGGTGGTGGAAGGGGTGGATCAAGCTGATCCCCCAAAGGTCGTAGTCTGTCTGCTTCATCAGGATACCATCTATCTGACAACCGTTCCCTCTCCCAGTCAGTCCTTTCAGGAAGGTAATCTCGCTTCTCCCTTGACGTATCATGCCTCTCTGGATACTCTCGGATCCTCAACTCTCCTCTGTCTCGGAGGTCTCTGTCATAGAGATCCCTATCTCTTTCCTCCCTCCACCGGTCCTCATGGTACCTGTCCAGAGGTGGAAGTGGTGGCAAAGGTGGAAGAGGAGGAATGTCCAGGTCATGACTCGGTGTATCTCTGTCATCCAGAGGTCTCAAATAATCTCTGTCCCATTCTCTATCTAATTCCCGATCATAAACATCCAAGGGTCTTCCAATCCTGTCCAGATCTCTATCCAGCTCCCTCTCCCTTGGCCTTTCCCAATCATCCCACCAAGTGTCTCGTCTGTCAAGATCAGAAGACAAAGGAGGGAGAGGAGGAAGAGGTGATAGTGGAGGCAATGAAAGACGGAGTGGTAACCTGTCATCTCTATCATATGGATCCACATGATCATCCTGAATATCTGTGTCATGCTCTCTCCAATATCGATCTCTTTCCCAATCATCCAATTGTTCGCGCTCTAAAGGATGGGAATCTCGTCTATTTAATGAAGGTTCCTCTTGCATTCTCTCCTCTTCGTGACTCCAGGGAGCCCTGGTTGGTTCCTCTCGATGATACAGAGATAATTTCTCAGAGTTGTCTCCTAGGCGGATTGGTTTATCAATACTGCCTGTTTCAGGCCTGCCCATTTCCCTCTCCCGGCTACCTGATCGCCTGACAGAACCCCTCTCCCGACTTCCTGCCCGCCTGCCAGGACCCCTCTCCCAGCTTTCAGCCCGTATGATAGGACCTCTCTCCCGGCTTCCAGCCCGCATGACGGGGCCCCTCTCCCAGCTTCCTGACTGCCCCCTATCCCTGCTGTCTGCCCAGCCAGCTGGTTCCTTGTCTCGGCCAGACAACCCTCTCTCCCGGCTGCCTGACCGCCCAACTGGCCCCATCTCCCAGCTGCCTGACTGCCCATCTGGCAACTTCTCCCTGCTACCTGACCGCCTATCCAGCTGCTCCTCCCGGTTGCTCACTCTCTGGATCATCCCCCGGCCTCGGGTGGCTGCCTGTCTGGGCAATCCTCTGCCTCTGTTTGTTAGCCCCCTGCCTCGGCAGTCATCCAGCCTGCCCTGCCCCCTGTCGAGGCCGTCGTCCAGCCTGCCCTGCCCCCTGCCTCGGCCGTCGTCCAGCCTGCCCTGCCCCCTGCCTCGGCCGTCGTCCAGCCTGCCCTGCCCCCTGCCTCGGCCGTCGTCCAGCCTGCCCTGCCCCCTGCCTCGGCCGTCGTCCAGCCTGCCCTGCCCTCTGCCTCGGCCGTCGTCCAGCCTGCCCTGCCCTCTGCCTCGGCCGTCGTCCAGCCTGCCCTGACCCCTGCCTCGGCCGTCGTCCAGCCTGCCCTGACCCCTGCCTCGGCCGTCGTCCAGCCTGCCCTGACCCCTGCCTCGGCCGTCGTCCAGCCTGCCCTGACCCCTGCCTCGGCCGTCGTCCAGCCTGCCCTGACCCCTGCCTCGGCCGTCGTCCAGCCTGCCCTGACCCCTGCCTCGGCCGTCGTCCAGCCTGCCCTGTCCTCTGCCTCGGCCGTCGTCCAGCCTGCCCTGACCCCTGCCTCTGCTTACTAGTCCATTGCCTCTGTTATCTTCTGGCTGAACCAGACCTATACCCTGATTATTTTCTGATCCAGGTAGTCCTTTACCCTGGCTATTTTCTGAAAGGGGCAATTTACTATCTGTAGATTTCAAGTCTTTATTTCCTGTTACAGGGGATGGAGGTAAGGCTGCTGTTCCTCCTGTTCTCGGAGGAATAGTAGACTGCACAGTTACAGGTGTACTGGGAAGTGGTGTTGGTTTTTGATTCTGAATGGATGGAGGTTGAGTAGTTTGTTTTGTCTCTTCTAATTGCTGCGCAGGATCCTGAGAACTCCAAGTCCACTTTTTAGGCCGAGGAATAATTTTTTTGACTTTAGCTTTGGGTGGCTCCTGCTGAGCTTTTGTCAGGTCCTCAGCTGGCTGAACTGGACCAGAATTCTTTGCATCTGTATCAAAGGCAATTGGCGTAGACTGAGTTCTATTTGCCAACTCCTGGTTGACAGCCACATCAACAAAAGCATCTCTGTTTTCTGTTCGGGACTCTGCTTGAGATTGCTGTTGAGGTTTGGGCCCCCTCCACTGTGACCCGCTTGGTCGGGAACTGTGCATCTGTGATGTACTTGGGGAAGTATAAAACTGTGCTGCTGGCCCCCGGGGGACAGTCCCCCATTTGCTTGAAGACTGTCCATCTGAATTCTGACCTTCAAATCTTGGCCTTGGCCCTTCCAAGTGCTGGCCTTCAAAACGAGGTCCTCTCTGTCTTGGCCCTTCAAATCTGTCAAAGCCTCTTCCCCGAAGTCCATCAAACCTACATGTAAAACGAGAGACATATTCAAATGAACAAATTAAGTGAGAATTCTCTAGAAGATATTTTCACTTTATAAAACCACTTTCATGCAAACATCTCTGTGTGCCTCATATGCAAACCCCATTAAATCAGTACAGAGACATGGAAAAATGCACTTCAATTTCACACTGCACAACGGAGAGTGACATAAGTCACTTGCAGACTCAGCAACCTCTAGGAAATAATGTTAGATGAGCCACAAAATAATCAGTGTCATGCCCCACTGTTGCATCAATATGTGACATTATGTCTCTGTGCTAGCTCACATCTGGGGCATCATTCATAGACACGTAATGGAAAAAAACATCCTGCTTATGTGAGAGCAGCAGCAGCATTTGAACCACTCTATACAGATAGTAGTGGGTGAAAGTGTAAATTTCAGCCATGAAGACTAGTTCCGGGAGAAACGTTGACTTAAAATCTTAACTGGAAATCAAGTATGTTATTTTAACATGTCTTGTGTTTAAAGCTCCAGACTGGTGCTCAGAAGATCTAGATTCTGTCTCCAGCTCTGTCCAGATTCACTGTGTGACCTTGGGAAAGTCACAATTCCTCTGTCTCTTGCTACTCCAACAGCAAAATAGTGGTATTTCCCTACCACACGAGGGTGTGGGCAAAGATAAATAATGTATGTGTAATGATCAGATACTATGGTGCTGCGTACTACATAGAAAAGTCTATAAATAAAATATAAATAGATAAATAAAATCTAGATATAGAATTTAAAATATTATTAAACAGTAAGTGGAGCAAGCTTATGATGTTACCCTGGTCTGGACAGCTTTATGTGTTTTCTATTTGTACAACTGTATTTTATTCACATTTAGTTCACCTACAACTACCGTGGCCCAAAATGTGGGGAACTGGATAACAAATAAAGCATGAAGTGAAAGGATTCATGCAATAGGAGCTAAAGAGGCGTATCTGGTCAAAAATCCACTTTTTAATTAAATGCCCAAATACTGATTCACATAACAGAGCAGATAAAATCAAAGCATTTTACACAGGAAACCTTAAAAGGAAATGAAAGTCACATTACTCAGATGTTTGTAACTTACAATGTTGAATCTTGAACCAATGCAAAAAAGCAAAAAGAAACAAGGCAGTTGAAGACTACAAGAACAATCAATTACTGGATCTTGTTTCTCAAAAAATACCAGGGTTGGAAACAATTGCTTGTTAGCATTGAGGAAACACACACTATGGGAAAGGCAACTTTTCAGTATTATAAATGATTGATCTATAACTCTAGAAGTTTGAAATATCAGCTGCTAACAACCACTTTGGATGTGAAATGGGAGGTGATGGGAAATGATTGCACACAGAATGATATTACTGTGAAGTCTACATATCCTGCAAGGACTAGAAATAGTTTGCTGGAAGAAGCAACAACATTTTCAGAATTGTAAACCTTCCAAATATAGATTCATGACCAGTGATCAGAAAAAACAGATTTCAATTGCTGCAGATTTGATACCTCTTAAAGTGTGAATAAGCCATTCCTAAAATGAGCTCTTAGGCCAAACTACACAGATCAGCTACATAATGTACCTTTAAAAATAAATCTTATTTTTTAAACAAGTCTAATTGTTCATTGACTCAAGAGGTCATCTGTCAAAAAAAAAACCCTGAAAAATTAATTTTTCCCCTTCCCAAAAGACACAGGAAACAAAATATAAATGTATGAACATTGTGGTATAATACAAACCAACAATAATCAAGAAATTCAAAGCTAAGGCCAACACTCAGTGCTCTCACATCCTTTTTAAAACATTGGAGCTAAGTAACACCAAACATAAGAATGGCCATACTGGGTCAGACCAAAGGTCCATCTAGCCCAGGGGTGGGCAAACTATGGCCCGTGGGCCAGATCCCTGCCCTAAGCCCCCTGCCTGTACCTTGCACCTCTCCTGCACCCAGCCCCCCCCAACTCCCTGTCCTAAGCCCCTGCCTGCACCTCACACCCCTCCTGCACCCCAACTCCCTGCTCTGAGCCCCCTACTGCACTGTGCACCCCAACTCCCTGCCCTGAGCCCCGTCATGCCCTGAGCTCCCTCCTGCATTCTGCACCTCTCCTGCACCCCAACCTCCTTCCCTGAGCCCCCTCATGCACTCTGCACCCCTCCTCTGCCCCAATCCCTTGCCCTGAGCCCCGTCATACCCTGTACTCCAATCCCCTGCCCTGAGCTCCCTCCTGCATTCTGCACCTCTCCTGCACCCCAACCTCCTTCCCTGAGCCCCCTCATGCACTCTGCCCCAATCCCTTGCCCTGAGCCCATTTCTGCACACCGCACCCCCACCCATGCTCCCTCCCACACCCCAACCCCCTGCCCTGCATACAATTTCCCCACCCAGATGTGGCCCTCGGCCCAAAAAGTTTGCCCACCCCGATCTAGCCACGTATCCTGTCTTCCAACAGTGGCCAATGCCATGTGCCCCAGAGGGAATGAACAGAATAGATAATCATCAAGTGATCCATCCTGTTGTCCATTCCCAGCCTCTGCCACAGAGGCTTGGGACACCATCCCTGTCCATCCTGGCCAATAGCCATTGATGGACCTATCCTCCATTAATTTACCTAGTTCTTTTTTGAACGCTGTTATAGTCTTGGTCAAAGAGTTCCACAGGTTGATCATGCGTTGTGTAAAGAAATACTTCCTTTTACTTGTTTTAAACCTACTGCCTATTAATTTCATTTGGTGACCACTAGTTCTTGTGTTATGAGGAGTAAATAACATTTCCTTATTTACTTTCTCCACACCAGTCATGATGTCATAGACCGCTATCATATCGCCCCTTGGTCGTCTCTTTTCCAAGCTGAAAACCTAGCACCACTCTTTTAAGGGCTTGTACACACTAGCGCTCACTTTGTTATAACTTAAGTCACCCATGGGTGTGAAAAAGCCACACCCCTAAGTGACGTTAGTTACACCGACCTAAGTACCAGTGTAGACAGGCACTTCTCCCCTCCAACATAACTATGGCCGCTTGGGGAGGTGGAGTAATTATGTTGGAGGGAGAGCTCTCCCCCGTCAGCATAGAGCATCTGCACTAGCAGCGCTATATAGGTGCAGCTACATTGGTATAGCTGCATCACTGTAGCGATTCTAGTGCAGACGAGCCTTAAGAAACCTACAGTCAGTAAGTGTGCTGGAACCCTCAGGTGAAAAGAGCAAAGAATGAAAGAGCCTTTTCATACCAATATTGTGAGGCAAAGTAGCAGCTCTGAGTTTCCCTTGCATCTCTTCGGCACACCCTTCATCAGAAAATGTAGCTGGGGTTTAGGATTCAAGCTACTTTATTTCTTGATTTTACAACAGCATCTAATTTGTTGGTAGTTAGGTATTAGATGCTCCAAGTCTATAATAGTTGGATACTTGCCTGAATTCCTTTCACAATGCGTAAGTTAAAGTACTACCTAGGGAAAAGAGCACGTATTGTGATTGCGCCTACAGATAACTTTAAACATTTTTGAAATAGATGTTTCCAAACTGTCCTCCAAGACAGAGGATCAGCGTAGCACTTGCTAGGGGGTTATGGTGAGATAGTTTGTCATATCGCACTGGCTTTTCTCTAGGTTTCCAGATAACTTGCATTAAAAGAAATTAAAAATACAGGAAATATTTTTCTGCCTCTTTTCCATATGAGCAATTGTTGTAGTTGTAAAAGGGACGCTATGTGCTTCAGAATGGAGATGTGTGGGTACACAGGACAATCTCGCTAGAAAGATGTGACCTATCCTAGATAATGCCCAAGTCTCTGACTTTGCTTTCACTAAGGGTATGTCCTACACTATGGGCACTATAGCGGCACAGTCGCCACGTAGACACTTGCTATACGAATAGAAGGGGTTTTCTCATCCACATAGGTAATCCATTTCCCTAATAAGCAGTAGCTAGGTCTACAGAAAAAAATTTATATCAACATAGCCACATCTATACTGGGGGCTAGGTCCACTTAACTACAGTGATCAGGGGGGTTGAATTTTTCACACCCCTCAGTGTCAATCTAAATTTTAAGTGTAGACCAACCAGGCATAAGATAAACACAGTGAACAGTGCACATAATTTATTTTCAAAAACCCACGAAACAAAACCCACTATGCTGCACCCACAGTTTCCCCTGGGGAAAGATGACAAAGAATGAAGCACATGTGACAGATTTTCCTCACACTGTTTAATGCACAACTGGCACTACAGGTACTTTGGTGATGACAGCAGTAAAAGAATCTGTATAGATGAGGATGTGTATAAACTAAAGGAAAAAGACCTACCTAGGACCTCTTGGTCCTTCGAAGTATGTGCCTCTGGGTGGGTCTGGAAGCAATCCACCTGATCTCACTGGTTTATCTTGAACGCTGGAGGTGGGGGGTACATAGGTTGAAGATATTGGAGTAGAGGTTTTCAGTTCTCCAGATGCTGGTTCAGATGAGACAGAAACAAATGGTACAGCTTGCTTATCCAGATGAACTTGACAGTTTCCTTGGTCTGAAGAGTCACCAGATGTAGTTATTTCAGAATGACAAGGTAAAGTTGCAGATGAGCCAAGTAGTTTAAATACAAAAGAATCAGGAATAGGAAGAAGAGCTGGCCTGGTTGTCTTAGCGGACTGGAAAACCTGAAGACTGGACGTTGGGGGTTCAGATGAGTTAGACAACTGAGGATCAGAAGACAGAGGTGGGGGAACCTGCGGAGGGGTGGCTGAAGGCAAAGATGGAGGCATAACAGGCATGCCTCCTTGAGAGGTTTGAGAGCATGGAACAAAAGGAGGTGGCAATGCAACATTCCCAGTGTATTGATTCTTCATGTTTCGAAGTGAGTTCACTTTCTCCTGCAGATGGGACTGAGTAGCTTTCATCTGTCCCTGCCATGTTTTCCACTGTTTCTCATACTCCTGAAGCTGATCTTTGTGAGGATAGGTCTGAAGTTGATCCTGCCATCCTTGGAATTCACGCTCCCACTCTTTGTGAAGTTGTTGAAACTGTTTCTGCTGCGTTTCATAATGCTGCAGCTGCATATCCACTGACATTGTCTGCAAGAAAGAGAGATACAAATGCTGCAGAATACATTTTTAGTTCCTTCTGAAGCAACATGCTTGAATATCACCCTCTGCCCAATCTTCAGCTTAAATAGAAGCTTGAGAGAAGAGTTACATAGAAACAGAAGCAAACGTATCCTGCCTGGTATATCTCCAACCATACATTTTAGTAATAGATAAGGGCAAACACTTCCATACAAAAAGCCCACATCACTCTAGGTGGGAGGACCGGGGAGTGGGGAGAGTATAATTAGCAACAGATTACTTCTGCATACAACCAAACTATTTGGGGCTATTAATAGAATATCCTCCATCCCTACTGAATCACAAATCAATCCACAAATATTCTAATATATGTAGCAAGCAGCCTTGTTTCCCAAGCTCTTCAATTTGTTTCTCCAAGCACATAGCAATTCAATTTAAATGCACTTTCCTTCACATTCGAGAGCACCACCTGGAACACTAAACCAGGTATACGTTGAGTAAACTGTAGTAGTCCTCCAAGTTTGGGCTTATCAAACTTGTTTATCTAACAAAACAAACTAAGAGAACAATCTCTCATTACGCTTGTAATAACCTACAGCTAGTTAACCTACAGCTTAATGGGACAAAATTGGGGGGCCCAGATAATCTTCATCCAAGAATATTAAAGGAATTGGCACCCGAAATTGCAAGCCCATTAGCAAGAATTTTTAATGAATTTGTAAACTCAGGGGTTGTACCGTATGATTGGAGAATTGCTATTTTTAAGAAAGGGAAAAAAAGTGACCTGGGTAACTATAGGTCTGTTAGTTTGACATCTGTAGTATGCAAGGTCTTGGAAAAAATTTTGAAGGAGAAGGTAGTTAAGGACATTGAGGTCAATGGTAAATGGGACAAAATACAACATGGTTTTACAAAAGGTAGATCGTGCCAAACCAACCTGATCTCCTTCTTTGAGAAGGTAACAGATTTTTTAGACAAAGGAAACGCAGTGGATCTAATTTACCTAGATTTCAGTACGGCATTTGATACGGTGCCACATGGGGAATTATTAGTTAAATTGGAAAAGATGGGGATCAATATGAAAATTGAAAGGTGGATAAGGAATTGGTTAAAGGGGAGACTACAATGGATCCTACTGAAAGGTAGGTACTGAACTGTCAGGCTGGGGGGAGGTTACCAGTGGAGTTCCTCAAGGATCGGTTTTGGACCAATCTTATTTAATCTTTTTATTACTGATCTCGGCACAAAAGTGGGAGTGTGCTAATAAAGTTTGCGGATGATACAAAGCTGGGAGGTATTGCCAATTCAGAGAAGGACTGGGATATCATACAGGAGGATCTGGATGACCTTGTAAACTGGAGTAATAGTAATAGGATGAAATTTAATAGTGAGAAGTGTAAGGTCATGCATTTAGGGATTAATAACAAGAATTTTAGTTATAAGCTGGGGATGCATCAATTAGAAGTAACGGAGGAGGAGAAGGACCTTGGAGTATTGGTTGATCATAGGATGACTATGAGCTGCAAATGGAATGTGGCTGTGAAAAAAGCTAATGAGGTCTTGGGATGCATCAGGAGAAGTATTTCCAGTAGGGATAAGGAGGTTTTAGTACCGTTATACAATGCACTGGTGAGACCTCACCTGGAATACTGTGTGCAATTCTGGTCTCCCATGTTTAAGAAGGATGAATTCAAACTGGAACAGGTACAGAGAAGGGCTACTAGGATGATCCGATGAATGGAAAACTTGTCTTATGAAAGGAGACTCAAGGAGCTTGTCTTGTTTAGCCTAACTAAAAGAAGGTTGAGGGGAGATATGATTGCTCTCTATAAATATATCAGAGGGATAAATACCGGAGAGGGAGAGGAATTATTTAAGCTCAGTACCAATGTGGACACAAAAACAAATGGATATAAACTGGCCACCAGGAAGTTTAGACTTGAAATTAGACGAAGGTTTCTAACCATCAGAGGAGTGAAGTTTTGGAATAGCATTCCAAGGGAAGCAGTGGGAGCAAAAGAACTATCTGGCTTTAAGATTAAACTCGATAAGTTTATGGAGGAGATGGTATGATGGGATAACATGGTTTTGGTAATTAAATATTCATGGTAAATAGGCCTAATGGCCTGTGATGGGATCTTAGATGGGGTGGGATCTGAGTTACCCAGGAAAGAATTTTCTGTAGTATCTTGCTGGTGAATCTTGCCCATATGCTCAGGGTTTAGCTGATCGCCATATTTGGGGTCGGGAAGGAATTTTCCTCCAGGGCAGATTGGAAGAGGCCCTGGAGGTTTTTTGCCTTCCTCTGTAGCATGGGACATGGGTCACTTGCTGGAGGATTCTCTGCTCCTTGAAGTCTTTAAACCACGATTTGAGGACTTCAATAGCTCAGATATAGGTGAGAGGTTTTTCGCAATAGTGGGTGGGTGAAATTCTGTAGCCTGCATTGTGCAGGAGGTCAGACTAGATGATCATAATGGTCCCTTCTGACCTTAGTATCTATGAATCTATGAATAAACCTACAACAGTCACTAATTATTCAATATATTTTATCTGTACCCACATCTGTATCTGAATTCCTGTGGCCAAACTGCAAGTCTCCTTTACCCTGCCTTGTAAAATCATGAAAATGTACTACACTAGGAACCACGTGTAGATTATTTTACCTGTCTCCTTCACCAAGATTTCCTTGGGACTACTGTCTCCAATATACTTTTCCTTTATCTAATGACTTTCAGATCCTTGAGTGCTAGGAGGGGCAAATACCCACACAATACATATTATTCATTGAGAGTCACACTGTTGCAACATAAAATGAAAAAGTATTAAAACAGTATATTTTGTATAAAATATGAATCAATAAGGGTTCACTAAGAGCTGTGCAAGAAAAAATGTGACGGCCTAATTATCATCTTTTCTCTCTCCCCTTTCATTGTGGTAATGACCAGAGAATCCAATCAGGATTGGGACTCCATGTTTTTTACAGCAGCTACAATCAAACAAAAAATCTCACTCACTCACACAAAGAAACAGTGTGGTTACTGGACAGAGCACTGGACTGGGAATTAGGAGATCAGGATTCTGTTCCCAGCTCTCTCATAAACCTACTATGTGACCTTGAGTGAGTTACTTTCCCTCTCAGTGCCTGTTTCACTTCTTACTCTTTGTCTGGTCTGTCTTGTCTATTTAGAATGTAAATTCTTTCAAGCAAAGAGTATCTCTCACCACATGTACATACCACTCCTATCACAATGGGTGTTCAATCTTAGCTGGAGTCTCTAAGTGCTACTATAATAATTTGGAGTTTTTTAAGGGCAAATACCGCCCCTCTTGCAAAGAAACTGGGAAGGCATAGGCTCTCCCCTAAACCCCAACAATCCCATGATCTACTTAATTACCCAACACCATCTTACTGACCCCAGCTAGCAATAATCTTATACTCTGAAGCATGAAGATTTACAACAATTAGTTTTATCTGAATTGGCTATTCTGATAGATGTCTAATCTATTTTTAATCTTACTAATCTATTAATATCAATAATATCCTTTGGCAGTGAGTTCCATTATTAGTTATACTTTACCTAAATATTTCATTCATTTTGGCTTTTACATTGTCTTTTTGAATATCTTGTATTGGAGGACACAGTAAATAAGGGCACCCAACCAGCTCTTTCTGTTCCTGCCATTTTAAGTAACCTTTTCTTTTCTAAACTAAGCCGTCCTACTGTAAAATTTTCAAAGACACCTAGGTCCCATTTTCAAAACTAACAGGCTCTTAGGAGCCTACAGTGCTCCTTAGACGATTTTGAGAATTGTATCCCATGTCAATAAATAGTCCTTTTAATTATGCCTCATATGAAACTGCTCCCATCAACATCTCTAAATATTCTTGTTACTCTTCAACTGAGACTGGAAAGTAACTTCTCAGGGAAGGGGGAAGCTAAGTCTTTGCCCATGAACAACGATTAATGAGAGAGCAAGGCAAACAAGTCAGCCAGAAGAAATTATTATACTACATACTTCTTATCAGACCATGAGTGTTACATCATCCAAGAGGTATACCAAATCCCAGTTTCTCAATGACTAACCTGTGGGGGTGGTGGCTGTTGTATAATCTGCTGGTACTTCTGTAGGATCTGTTGCAGTTGGGCATGCTTCTGCATTATTCTCTGATACTGAAAGCCAACTCGATGGTGTGGATGCTGCTGCCACTGAGCTGCTGCCACCTGCAACTGCTGCAATCTCAAATCTTCCTCAGAGTCCTCAGGAGGTTCAATATTCAGCTAAAGATAAATATAATTATTATAACTAAGGGAAAGCTCATTCAAGCACAACACCTAAACAAGCTTACTTTTGGGTAAGCAATGGTGTCCCTAGCCTCTGTTTGTCAGAGGGTGGAGATGGATGGCAGGAGAGACTAGGTCATTACCCGTTAGGTTCACTCCCTCTGGGGCACCTGGCATTGGCCACTGTCAGTAGACAGGATATTGGGCTGGATGGACCTTTGTCTGACCCAGTATGGCCACTCTTATGTTCTTAAGCATAACCAAATTCACAGAAGTTTCATGGCAGTTAATAATTCTGTGACCCTGAATTTTGGTGTTCTGACTTTCTATGACACTATCAGAATAGATGATTTTGTTTATCTTCTTCAATAAGGGGAATAGTTCAAGCCAAAAATCAGATTTGAGAGAATTTGCCTGCATATTCTAAGTAAAAACCATCACTATGCAAATGGGCAGAAAGGTTTTTGGGCAAAACTTCTTAGTTATTAGGCACAGACTATGACCCTATTCTTTAACAAAGGAATCATTATCTTTCAAGGTCTGGAGTGGAAGGCAAAATCACCACTCTCCTTTCCAGCACTTAACGGGAAAGTAATATGCATCTCAGCTAAAAATTGGAATGATTAATTAAATCAAAATCCAAACTATGCCAAAATTCTGGTGTGTTTGGATTTAGTATTCTGGTGCAGGCCTGAGCTATCAAGTTCAGATGCATGTCTTGGTGATAGAGGCATTAGATTGAATGTGGGGTACTAGCTCAGGCACATCTCTAATCCTGACTGCAAGATGTCTACATGCAGCGGGAAAGGTACGAATACCTTCCAATGCAGCACGTAGGATGAGCAAATCATACAGAGGGATAGAAGTAAAAATCTTGAACGCTAACAAGGAAAAGTCATTCAGGGATTTCAGGTTAAGGAACTAGGGAGCACGAGATTAGCTAATTGGGACTACAGTAATTCATTCATTTCCCTTATCCTCTTTTCTTTAAAATAATTCACTTTTTCTGAGATATGTCATCTGACCTACTGGCATTAGAGACAAATACGGTTCATAATCTCTGAACACTATTCACTTCACCATGGCAGGGAGCATGGGTCCCAAATGCAGAAGTCTTTCAAATCTGTAGGAGAAGGACTCTGTAAATGCAAAGGGACCCTACTCATCACCTAACAAAACTGAGGAAGCAGCTTGTCCCTGAAAAAGATTTTACTAGTTCCAAACCTGCCAGACCAGGGAGATGTGTACCCAGACCTGTCTTTCCCAACTGTAAAGTCTATTAATTGGGAGGCAATATGGCCTAGTGAATAGATCACTAGACTTGGACTCAAGAGGTTTGGGGTCTATTGGACTCAAGAGATGTGTGTCTGGCCTGCTGGATGATTCCAGGTACCTTACTTGCCTTCTGTACTTCAATTTCCCCACATGTAAAATGGGGATAATGATACTGACCTTCTTTGCAAAATGCTTTGAGATCTACTGATGAAAAGCACTATCTAAAGTCTAGGTATTATTATTCAGACCCAGGCAGGAGGAAAACTTTTTTTTTTTTTTTTTGAACGAATGTCCCATAAGGAATAGCATCTTTGCATAGCGTACCTTAGGTTCAGTAGATGAGACAGGAGGCTCCTCTTTTTTGGAAGCTGGTATGAGGGGCTCGTTAAGTAAAGGCGGGTCAGACTGCTGATTAGGAGCAGTCACTTTCCCTTCTTCTTGCTGTATTCTCTGCTCAGGTGCATCCTTCACCATTATTCCTGGACCCTTCGGTTGCTGCTGTCCCTGTGCATGTGCTTTTGCCCTCTGCTGCAGACTTAGCAAGTGTTGCTGGTACCAGTACTGTTGCTGTTCCTATAATATACAAAAAGTTTGTGAGAATTACAGTAGCAACCAGATTTAATAGACAAAAACAGATAAAGATAACCCACCAAGATAATCACTGAAATCTGGCAGAGAAAACAGTCTCCAGAGAAGTGTTTATGCCTGTTTCATTGTAATAACTCACTTCTCTACCATCATTACAGAGAAGCAATAGGTCAAAACCCCTTATCAGGTTTCAGGCACGACTGTCCTAGGTGCTATACAGACATGAAGGAAGATGCAGTTCCTATCCCAAAGAACTTAAAACCGAAGAAGGCAAAAAACAGAAAGGAGAGGAAGGTGTTCAACATATGAGCTAAGGGATTGGAGTGAATGGACTTGTTAATTCCATTTCATTATTTTATTAACAACTTGGTATATGTATTTATTATGGAGCTCAGATGGGGTAGGATAATGGAAAAGTTGGATGAGGAGAATTGGTCAGAGCCATGGAACCGGGTAAAAGGAAAGGGGGCTGAAGGACACTGAAGGAAGAAATGCACAGAGGAAAGAAAGGGAAGGGATAAATGGAGACGACTATGGATAGCAGGAAGAGTGAGGATGGCAGCAGAGAAACTGTGAGGAAGAGATGTGGAAGGAGACTGGGACAAACAACCAATCAGACAGAACACAGTATCTTGAGTTCAGATTATAAAAAGCTGTCATCTAACCTCACTGGCATCTGGGAGCTGCAAGGTAACCAGATGGTGATGCCAGAAATAAGACAAGACCAGCTACGGAGATAGTCAAACTCCTAGCATTAAGTCCTCATCTTTAAATATGTTCAAAGTACAGGTGCTTTATAGCTGAAAGGCCTGTTCTTTGGAACATGGTTCCACAAGGTCTGATGGCATATTCTGACATTTAGACTTTCTCTGAAGAATTTCCTCTGCTGTAGAATTTCCCAAGATATTCACTTTCTCCATGTGTGTCACACATAGACAAATGGATATATATTATCCATTATAAATCCCCTTTTCTAGGTTTTGTAATCAAGTAGCATTCATCTCCTCCAGGTTGAAATAATGACAAGGAATAGCTCAGCTCTCAAATGTTTTTATACGTTTTCAAAATAGTAGGTAGCTCAATAAAATATACTTCATCAGGATTTTCACTGCCCAGCCCAAATATCAAGGATAAAGTTGGAAGAAACTTCCTAGTGATTATGGTTCTATAATCTGCGCACACACTAAAAACTCAATGAAATGCCATGAGCTCAGATTTAAAATAAGATACAAAAGGAACTAAATTCTAACTTTATAAATTCAGAATACTGAATGTTTACTAAAAATGTATACTGAAGTCCCATTCATCAAGAGAATTTATATAGCTTTTATAAGAACTCTAGCAAAATACAGGGGACAGAGATTGGTATTTTATAGCCATAAAGTGAGGATATGGAAAAGCTTATCCTAAAGCTCATGGAATGGTGCGGCATATGAAAACACAAGCTCAACTAGCAATTTCCCCTCTTTTGAGAATCTGTGACTGTCCCACATCTTTCATACTCTTCCTGTTCATCTTTTCTACCCACACACTGGCAAGAAGAGCCACTTCTGAAAAACCAGCATGGGAACAGCAGAGAAGCTAACAGGAACAACAGTTTATTTTTAAATGCAGGTATAAATTCAGCATTGGTGAATGGTGCCCGATGAGATTCCTTAAGACTAAAGTTTCCAATTCATCTTCAAAATAGGTATAAAATAAGCATGTGCAGTGCAAACTTCCTCCACCCATATATCTTATGCCTGAATTAAAAGGGCCTATTTCTAGTAGTGAGGTGTGAAATGGACGAATTTAAAGAGCAGATCTATGCAGAAAATCACTTCTCTAAAATGATATTTTGGGGACTATATGTCTATGATAGGAGATGGTATCATTCTAGATTCTGCCATTGACCTCTGCCAATATCCTGCAAATCAGGATTCAGATCAGGATATGACATAGAGAAGCTCTCATGGCTATGGGTGGAGGACAAACATCCATACTTACAGCATGGGATCTCTCAGCAGCCTTCAACTCCATGTTGTGTTAGGAGTTGCTTTTGCATTCAAGACCTAGCAGAGGCATGCAGAGCAGCACTAAGCTGGATTTAAACATTCCTTTCAAAGACATGTCACATAACATGATTTTATACAATAGTGATGGCTGTGACATAGATAAATAAAAGATGACAGTCATGATAGACAACTGCTCTTCTGCCCTGAAAGTCTAGTCATTTGTGAAATCATCCTATCTCCTCTCCTTCTCAATATATAGATTAATCTCTAGGAGAGGTCATACCACATAGGCTCCAATACCACCAATATGACGACACTCAGCTGTAAATCTCCTTCACAGCACATGAAGCGAGAACCACTTTATGTCCCAGCATCTGACGGAGGACTTGTCTACACTACCGCGTGGGGTCGACGTAAGATACACAACTTCAGCTACGTACTTAGATCTACTTACTGCAGTAAGTCGACAGCTGACACTCTCCCATCGACTCCGCTTGCGCTTCTGTTCTGGTGGAATACCGGAGTCGATGGGAGAGCGCTCAGCAGTCGATTTATTGTGTCTATACTAGACGCGATAAATTGACCCCTGCTGGATCGATCACTGCCCGCCAATCCGGCGGGTAGCATAGACAAGCCCTGAAAAAAGTGAATGGATGAAAAACAGATGTCTAAAGCTCAGACTGAGCAAAACAGAGGAGATACTGGTGAAGGATACATTTCAGAGAGATGGTGGGAACTTAAGTCCTCATCTTTGACTGAGGGCTTCTACTCTCCCAGTGTCAAGGTGGTAACTATTCTTGGAGTCCTACTGCAATCACTGATACTCCTATACACAAGGAATGCAACAACAACAAGGAGCTTCTTCTTCCATCCTTGACTAACCAATGGTTTATACCAGTGATACTGAGACCTCAAGTCGTTCAGGAGCCAAATTAGCTACCAACAGTACCCAAAAGAGCTACAGTAGTGTGAATTAATTGTTTCATTTACTATAATGCTATTCATATTTAAAGAGTATGACAGAGAAAATATTAATTTATACATAAATATATATTATTTTCACAGCAAAGTTCACAGTGCAAGTTGATAACTTAATTTGGTTAATAACATAGTAAAAGTATCCCTGATTGGTTAATTAACAACTCACACAGTGTTTTAATATAACATGTTGCAAAGAGTCCCAGGAGAAACATTAGAGAGCTGCAGTCTGAGTATCATTGGTTTACACCTGTTCCTCTCAGGGAGGATCTCACCACAGTGAAATAGATATCATCACCTTCTGGTTAGATTAAATTACCACAACACAACTTCTATCAAATGCCCAATTGTGAAGGTCACACAGAAGCTCCACCTGGTATAACATACAGCAGTCTCAGCCTAACTCAAACAAAGAAAACCAAAGAAGTGCATCATGTCAACATACCATTTGTTCCACTAACTCTCCATTTAGTTCTGTATCCATTTCAAGGACCTAGTCCTCAGTTTTCAAACCTTTAATGGCACACCAGGACAGCAAGACTCTATGCAAGCAGTGTGACTGCCAGAGTCCAGGGTGAAAAACTTGGGGGTCTTGGTCACTACAAAATATCAGGATGAATCTGAGAGCCTTTACTGCATAATGCAAGACCCATCTATTTATGCAGCAAGTCCTTCCTCAGGATGGTAAAAAAAAAAAACACAACACCTGGTGATGCTCATGGAAGAAAATAACAGAGATGATAAGCAAGGATAAGGAAAACAATACAGCAGTCCAGAACACAGGGCTGTGAAGCTTAGGTATCCTTCATAGGAAAATATACATAATCTTTGTTTAATTTTCAACAGAATATGCACCCAGATACCAAAGCAAATGGCATGCTATAAATAAATTTTGGTAGATACTTCACTTATTAAAGCTATGTCTACACTAGAGAGCTTACAGTGGCACAGCTGTACCGATGCAGTTGCGCCGCTGTAAGCTCTCTTGTGTAGCCTCTCTATGCTGACAGGAGAGAGCTCGCCCGTCATCATAATGAAACCACCCCCAACGAGCCGCGGTAACTGGTAACTATGTCAGTGGCAGAAGCTCTCCCGGCGACTTATGTGAGTATAACTTATGTCGCTCAGGGGAGTGTTTTTTCACATCCCTGAAAGACATAAATTATACTAACATAAATGGTAGTGTAGACATTGCCTAAGTCAGGGGTTGTCAAATTGGCAGTTGGGACCCCTCAGGGGGTCACGAGGTTATTACAAGGCGAGGAGGGGTTGCGAGCTGTCAGCCTCCACCCCAAACCCCGCTTTGCCTCCAGCATTTATAATGGTTTTAAATATATAAAAAAGTGTTTTTAATTTATAAGGGGGGTGGGGGAGGTCACACTCAGAGGCTTGTTATGTGAAAGGGATCACCAGTACAAAAGTTTGAGAACCACTGGCCTAAGTGTTTCTGGAAAGATATACCTTGCCATAAGGAGACACAGGAACCTTATTTTCATTGTGTTAGACTGTGCTGCAAAATGTGTCACATGGCATGGGACTCTAAACCAAAATCACACACAGAGATCTGTCAATGTTACACAGTGGAAGACAAATAATATAACAAAGAATTACAAATGACAAATTGCAATTTCTTGCATAATCTACTGAATATGTGGGGGGAGAGGGGAAAGCAGCATTCTGTTTGGCTATGGACACTGTTACTACAGGAGATAATCAGAAAATTATCTTCTGTCTAGACTAGATTGTCATTAATTAAAAAAGAGAAAGATTCCATAACTCTTCTTCCGCAGATCAGTAGAAGTTATACTATTTCAATGTTCAATCTTTACGACCCTTTAGGTACCACTTTCTTTTTAAATTAACATTTAATTTTGTATTGTATCAAATTCAGTAAACTACAATAATGCAAAGTTAGGGCAAAATAATCAGAAAATGCAAAAGGTAGCAGTGTATATTCAGTCACAACTCTGCTCCCCTAAGTATGCATTGCAATAATTCATTAATTATGACTATGTTCTTTCAGATGTATGTGTGGTTGTCAAAATAATTATTGTATTGTATTATTTTAAAAATAGTATAGCATAATGAAATTACAGATGCTATCATAATGGATAGCAACAAAGCGAGGGGGGAGCATGTTAACATTTAACATTCAACCTCCTAAAATCTAGCACTTTTGAGTGCTCAGTTATTGAACGAGAATACTGAATCTACATCTAATTTACTATTTTGTTTTGAGGGGGGGGAGGTTAAAGAAAAAATGAATACAAGAGGAGTCCCCATTTCTACAGAAGTAAAAAACCAGCTAGTGCCTATCAATAACGTTATAAAAGTGTCCACCTACGACATAAGTGTTTTTAACAGTAAAAAGTATATTTTTCACTCCCACCAAATTCAAAAACTTTTGAAAAGACTTTTCCCTCATAAAAGTTCACTTTTAGGAAGAGATCAAGCATGAACACATTTAGGCCAAAGTCTAACTATTTCTGAAAACTGAACAAACAGGCATCTAGGGTCTATAATGGAAATACTTTTGTAACCTTAACTATTCCAGGTATGGCCAGTTTGCACTGTTATAGGATTTGTGTTCATAAACAACTGAAAAATATTACTGTAAGAGAAAAATCAAAACAAGAAACTATGCAACACAAAACCAGGTGGCAATCCTATAAAATACCGGTGGACTGCTGCATTGGTATGGAGGGCCCAATGAAGTCAACAGGGATCCGTGCAGTTCATCTGCACAACGTACTTTGCACGATCGGGGCCCTAAAAATCTGAAAAATCCACTAAGGGGATAAAGTTCAGTCAAGGCTGAAACATCCCATTGTGCTTGGGAACTGCTGGCTCTTGAAAACCAACTACTACAGGATACAAAATGACAGGTTTCAGAGTAGCAGCCGTGTTAGTCTGTATTCACAAAAAGAAAAGGAGTTCTTGTTAGTCTCTAAGGTGCCATAAGTACTCCTTTTCTTTTTGAGGATACAAAATGTACATTCAACTGGAGTTTATGGAATTTTAGTCTCATCTGTACCATTCCTGGCTTTTGTGAGCTGAAGCCAAAAATTTTGTTTTATTTAAACAAATTCGTTTATTGTTTCTCTATTTTATCTGTCTTTAGTTGACCATCTTTACAACCCACACTACATCTGTAAATGATCAGTTCCCATCACTACCTTTTCCAAACTGGAGCCACGCTTGGCACCAAAGCACAGGTTGGACACTTTGTTCTTACCTGGGGGGTCATAGTGGAAGGGTCTGGCTGTGGGGTGCTGTGCTGGTCAGAACTGTCACTGGTGTCCTTAGCAGCACTCTGCACTGCCTCTTGCTGAGCAGGAGTGGAAGGGGGCAAGGATGACTGGGATGCAGCAAAGTGAGATTTAGACTGAGAAAGGGATGGTGTCAAACTAGACTGTGCTGGTTGGGAAAGGGATGATTGGGAAGGGGACAAGTAAGATTGAGAATGTGTCTGATAGGATTGGGAGGAGGGTAAATAGGATTGAGGGGCAGTTGGTGGAGGGGGCTCTAAATAGGACGGTGGTGGTGGCTGGGAGAGCTGAGAATGGGACAAATAAGACTGGGGCGGAGGGGACTGGGAAGGGGGTGGCTGGGCTGGGGGAATATAGGGTTCAGACTGGGCTGGGGGGATATAGGCCTGCGAAGGGGGTGGATAGGCCTGCTCAGGCGGCGGGGGCGACTGTGGCGGAGAGGACAGCTCCATGTCCATGGGCACTGGGGAAGAAGGCAGGTGCTCCCAGTCGCTGTGGGGCTGAGACGGCTGGAGGGTTTCATGCTCTCGGGGCAAGGGGGGCGCCGGGGGCTTGCAGACCTGGGGGTCCCGGGGTGGGGGCGGCGGGGGCGGCTCGCGGTGCTTGAATTGCTTCTGGTAGCTGCGGACGGGGGGAGGCACTGGCGGCGGCGGCCAGTCGGTGAAGGAGCCGGGGAGAGGCGGAGGGGGCAGGCCCGGGGGCGGCGGCCCGGGCGGGGGAACCCCCAGAAGTACCGACTGCATCTGCTTCTGGTGCATTTGCTGCAGCTGCTGCAGCTGGGCCAGGTGCTGCTCCTGCAGGCTCAGGAAGCCCGAGGCGCCGGGCGCGGGGGCCACACCTGGGCCCGGGGGCGGGTAGTTCGGCGGCGGGACGGAGGGGGGCATCACGGGCGGGGGGACGGGTAGCGGCGGGGGCGGTATCGAGGTGGGGGGCGGCGGGTAGTGCCCCGCCGCACCGTACAGGCCCCAGGCCGGATACATGGCGGGGCCGGGTCTGAGGCGGCGGCCGAAGCGGAGATCGGAGCTTCCACAGGCCGCGGCGACTGGCGACAGCAGCAGCGCGTGCGACGCACAGTGCCTGCGTAGCGAGGCTCGTTGGACCTCCGGGACAGAAGAGTGCCGTGCAGGAAGTTAGAGTGCCCCCAGCCTGGACCATAGAGAGGGGCTCGCTGAAGTTAGAGCGCCACCCACCGATCAGCCCGGGCTATAAGGTGGCCGGGCACCGGCGGAACAACACGGACAATAGAGAGGTGAACTAACTGGGACTAGAGTGTCGCTGAAACCCTGATCTCTTCTTCCCTCATGTCGGCTTGGACAAAAGAGAGGGGCAAAGAGGAGCTAGAGCGCCGCTCAGAGGCAGGCTGTCGGCCTCCATCTTGTTGGGCGGGGGGGGGCAGGCGAGCGGGCGGGCGGCGGAGGAACAACAGACTGGAGGCCACCGCCTTGGCGCCTTCTGGGTCCTGTCGCGGGCAAGGTTTCCACCCTTCCTCTCAGCTGCTCTCTGCCATGCGGGGGTTCCGGGGGCTGGTTCCCCGCAACGTGCCCGCCCGTCCCTGCGTTTATCGCTGCCCTCGGGGCGCCCTAACTACACCTTCCCTGGGAGACGGGTCTCCAGTCTGGTGAAGCTCCGTGCCTGGGAGGTCAGCCTGGGAGGCGAGCTGAGAACCATAGACAAAGCCTTGAACCCTTAATTCCATCACTATGGGGACAGCATTCAGATTACAGTGCTTGTGGTTTCTTAGCAGCCACGAACTGTTAGCTTGAGTTTCACAACAGTTTAGCAATCACAACTCCACTGCCTGAGGGCTTGGCTTCACTGAAAGTTAACCTGAATTATAACTCAAGTGTTGCAGGGGCACCATTTCAGATTTTTTGGTGGGAGGAGGCAACTTTACCCATGATTCCCGGGGCTACTTGGGCATATGAAAACTAGTTTTTTGCAGATAATAAGTTACAAATTATTATCTGGCAGGAGCATTGTATCTAATTCCTATAGAAAGAAAGAAAAATAAATATTAGACCTACTCAACTCTAATACTAATATGTTCTGACATCTTGTGTCAAGTCACTTAAGGGACACTGGTTAGGTTTAAAATTTTAATATATATTCTTACTTCGTTACTAACTCTTGAATACAACAACTGAAACAATTGTAGAAAAATCCAGATTACTTTCTATCACTCTTTTGCAGTTCACCACGCTTGGAAAAGATCATTTAATTTTTTAAAACATCCTACTAGGGCAAGGCCCTGTGAGTTTATACCTGCCTGGGCTCTAGGGGTGTTACCCCACTACAAATAATAAACTTGAAACTGACCTTAGACAGGAGTGAAACTGACACTTCCAAGTCCTTTCACAATATTGCCAACCACAAATGTTCACAAATCATGACTCAGACTGACCACAAATCATGAGATTATGTAAAAATAATAGATTTGGTGTTCTTTTTATTTGCCTTCTGCTTTTTGAGCCTTTTGGGTGCACCTGGGTCACATTTTGAAGCTTTCTCCACAGCCACAAGGGTTAGAAACTTCATTTTTCTTTAAGAATGATGCCTGAAATCGCCACATATCCACTTGACTCCAGGAGCTGGGGCTTTAAGGGAAATAATTATTATGAGACTCATATAACAAAATAATGGGAATTGGCAACAGTACTTTCACTTCTGTTAAAGGTGAGTTACTTTCCAGAAAGCTCTTAAACACAACATTGGCAACAGTGATGTAGTTGCAGTTCTGACAGGAGAATATTCAAAACCAAACCCCAAGAAAATTCCACATTTTAAAGTTGAGAAAAACGTTGAGACTTGCAAGGTATATCAGGACCACTGCAGGCAGGAAAGGAAAATAAATAGGCACAGGTGCTCTGGGCAGCTCTTCCTCTTGAAAGAAAGGAAAAACTTCTATTGCCATCAGCATCTCCACTCATAGATACTAATGTGCTCAATAACTATACACTTCATACTTAAACATCTGAGCCATCTTTTCCAAGGCTACTCATTTTATACAAATTGGCTCAGAGACTACATTTTCTGGCATATTCTGAACAGTTCTGAGCATACAATGGTGCCCAGTGAATAATACAAATCATGACAATAATTGTTAACTTTATGGACTCTGTAGATTCAGTTTTGTTCTTTGTTCTGGAATTGGCTTGGGTACAGCTGAAACCCTAAGGGCTTGGCTACACTTACATTTTATAGCACTATAACTTGCTGGCTCACCCCCCTGAGCGCAGCAAGTCTGAGCGCTTTAAAGCGCTAGTATAGGTGGATTACCAGGAGCACTGGGAGAACTCTCTCCTAGCACTCACGTGCAACCACACTCGCACTTCAACGTGCTGCCGCGTGAGCGCTTTGAAATTTCCAGTGTAGCCATGCCCTAAGAATTTGAGGGAGAAACACATTTGATACTCGTACAACACTTTTTCATTCCTTCCTTTTTTCAAACTCAGAACAAAAAATGACAAAATAAAATGGTTTTCAGTTAAAATGTAAAATTGCACAGCAGGCATTATTCTAGAACCCAGCCTGGGGCAGAACCTGCCATCCCTGAGGGGGGGTTAAGCAATCACCTCTCAGCTGACCCTCATTCTCTTTTTTTCTTCATCCTTCCTGACCTCTCTGCTGCTTTTCATGCTGTCAACCAGGATCCTTTCCAATTGCCTGGGACCATTTGCTGGAGTCTCAGAGAACTGGCCTTCTTGGTGTTTTCCCCATCTATCAGAGTCCTCTTTTTTTGCAGCATACAGCAGAGAGATAGGCTGGTCCAGTGGAATGGGAGCTACCCTGAGAAACTAGGGATCTACTTCTCCATGGACTTCCTGTATGACCTCAGGCCAGTATATTAGAGACAGAGTTTAAAGCTTTTTAGGCACCCAAAGATTCAGCTCGGCATCTAGTGCGGTTTACAAAGCAGCTAGTGCTTTTGAAAATCCCACTAGGTGCCTAAATACCTTTGAAAATCTGGCCTTTAGTCTCTCTGTACATCAGTGCTCCATCGGTACAATGGGTATAAAATAACAGCACTGCTCTATCTCACCGAGAGGCTGTGAGGAGAACTAGGTTAGACATTGTGAGGAGCGGGAATGTGGCACGATCAGGGGAGGAGGCAGGGAAGAGGTGGGGCTGGGGTGGGGTGGGGATTTGGGGAAGGAGTTTGAATGGGAGTGGGGCAGGGGTGGGGCCGCATGGAAGGGGTGGAGTGGGGGAGGGGCTGGGGACAGAGTGGAGGGGAGAGCACCCAGGGGAAAGCAGGGAAGTCGGCGTCTATGCCCCATAGATATGTGGGCAGCTGTGCCCACATATCTATTCAGGGGACACCATCACAGGGCCTAATAACATCAGCCACACTATCAGAGGCTCGTTCACCTGCACATCCACCAATGTGATATATGCCATCATGTGCCAGCAATGCCCCTCTGCCATGTACATTGGTCAAACTGGGCAGTCTCTACGTAAAAGAATAAATGGACACAAATCAGATGTCAAGAATTATAACATTCATAAACCAGTCAGAGAACACTTCAATCTCTCTGGTCACGCGATTACAGACATGAAAGTTGTGATATTACAACAAAAAAACTTCAAATCCAAACTCCAGCGAGAAACTGTTGAATTGGAATTCATTTGCAAATTGGATACAATTAACTAAGGCTTGAATAGAGACTAGGAGTGGCTAAGTCATTATGCAAGGTAACCTATTTCCCCTTGTTTTTTCCTAACCCCCCCCCCGACGTTCTTGTTAAACCCTGGATTTGTGCTGGAAATGGCCCACCTTGATTATCATACACATTGTAAGGAGAGTGGTCACTTTAGATAAGCTATGACCAGCAGGAGAGTGGGTTTGTGTGTGGGGGGGAGGGGTGTGAGAAAACCTGGATTTGTGCTGGAAATGGCCCAACTTGATTATCATACACATTGTAAGGAGAGTGATCACTTTAGATAAGCTATTAGCAGCAGGAGAGTGGGGTGTGAGGAGGTATTTTTTCATGCTTTGTGTGTATATAAAAAGATCTTCTGTATTTTCCACAGTATGCATCTGATGAAGTGAGCTGTAGCTCACGAAAGCTTATGCTCAGATAAATTGGTTAGTCTCTAAGGTGCCACAAGTCCTCCTTTTCTTTTTGCGAATACAGACTAACACGGCTGTTACTCTGAAACCTATGCCCCTAGGTGTAGATGCAACTAGGTCAATGGAAGAATGCTTCCTTTGACCTAGCTACCACTGTTTGGGGAGGTGGAGTTCCTACAGTTACAAAAAAAACCTTCAGTCACTGCAGGCTATACCTATGCATCAAGTTATAGTGCCATAGATATGCTGTTATAGTCCCCGTAGTGTAGACGTGACCTCAGTGCCACATACAAGTGAATGTAGCACCAGTGTGAATAGGGCAGCTACAGCATTATTGTGCCACGTTGCCATTTTCACTCAAGCTAGGTTACCTTGAGAAAAGTAAGTCTGCAGTGTTGTTGTAGCTGTGTTGGTTCCAGAATATTAGAAAGACAAGGTTGATTAGATAATATCTTGTATTGGACCAACTTCTGTTGGTGAAAGAGACAAGTTGTCAAGCCACACAGCTCTGAATTTGGTCCAATAAAAGATATTATCTCACCCCCTTTGTCTCTCTTGAGAAAAAGCAACTCCAGTGTCGATGACTTAAGTCTGCAGTGAAGACATGCCCTTAAATGATAGCTGCTCAGCACATCTGAAAATCAGACCATAAGAGTCTAATCCTGCAGCTCTTGCTCGGTCCTTACTAGAAAAAATTATATGATCTTCAGAATTTTGACTAAGTTTGGTCTAAGTTGGGTCTAAGTAATCACTGCAGGGTTTTCCCTTAATGGAGCAAAAAATAGAAAACTAGGATTTCATTAAAACAATGAGGAGTCCAGTGGCACCTTAAAGATTAACAGATTTATTTGGGTATAAGCTTTTGTGAGTAAAAAACCCTACTTCTTTAGATGCATGGAGTGAAAATTACGTGAAGAGTTATGCATATACACTACAGTTCTGTTCTTTAGGTCTGTGAGTCAGGAAAGTCGCTGAAATCTGAGCTACATACCTGTCAGGCAGAGGGGAAGAGACATTTCTCTCTTTCTCTCAGACTGG